TCATTGATGTTTCTATCTCTCGCTCCCTCTCCCTTCCTCTCTAAATCAATAAAAAAATATATTTTTAAAAAAGATATTAACATTTATTTCCTTAGTGGTGCAATATGGGCTGCAAAATTTTTCAGAAAATGATTTTTTTTGTTTTTTTTTTGTGATTTCAGAGCAGAAGGGAGAGGGAGAGAGAGAGAGAGAGAGAGAGAGAGAAATATCAATGATGAGAGAGAATCATTGATCAGCTGCCTCCTGCACGCCCCCTACTGGGGATTGAGCCCACAACCCAGGCATGTGCCCTTGACCGGAATCAGACCCTGACCCTTCAGTCCGCAGGCTCTATCCACTGAGCCAAACCATCTAGGGCTCAGAAAATGATTTTACTACAAAATTTTTATTAGCTGTTTTTATCTAAATGTCAGTCACATCCTTTGTACTTCCTTCATAGTGAAACACTTCTCTCAAGCTTTAAAAAAGTCATACCTAGAAAGCCTACAAAAAAACTCCAGTTTCCATGACAACCAAAATAAGTTAACATAAAAATACCAAATATAATGCAGTGCCTTTGAATTTTGTTTGGATTCTATAGATTCATTTAAGTGACCAATATGAAGGCCTACCTGGTTTGGCTCAGCAGATAGAGCGTCAGCCTGCAGACCAAGGGTCCCAGGTTCGATTCCTCTGGTCAAGGGCACGTACCTTGGTTGCAAGCTCCTCCCTGGCCCAAGCCCTAGTCAGGGCTCATGCAGGAGGCAACCAATTGATATGTTTCTCTCACATTGATGTTTCTCTCTCTGTCTTTCCCTCTCTCTTCCACTCTCCCTAAAAATCAATGAAAAAATATCCTCGGGTGAAGAGTAACAAAAAAAAAAAGCAAAAAAAAAGGCCAGTGTTTGTATTTGCTTTTATTTTCAAGCTAGAATACACAGGAGTGGGCGAAAGTAGGTTAAATTACCAGCCTATATGATAAATCATAAGTAAGAATTTAAAATAACAACAATAATAAGATAAATAATTCAATAATTAATAAATAATAATACAAGAATAAACTGTGTTTCTCCTACTCACAACTGTAAACCTACTTTTGCCAACCCTGTATTTTTCTTGTACCTGTAATTTCATGTTTTTATTATTCATCTCTACAGTCTACACATGAAAGATTGGTGTTTATAATTAGAAATGAATTGCAAAGTGATACAATCTAATGTATCTACAGAGAATTTGACATAAGTCATTTTAGATTATAAGTATCCCCTCTTATATCCAATAATAATGCCTTGCATTTCATAGTACTTTATAGACCAAGCCACTTTCCTATGTCTTATCTAATTTAACCCTAAAAATAACCATTTCATAGGTATTCTTCAGTATAGTAAAAGATCCTCAGAAGGATAAAGCAACTTTCTTAGAGACAGCAGGTGGTGGAATTGAAATGCAAACCCAGAATTCCTTACCCTTTGTCCATTTTACTATAATTTTCCATTATTCTAGGAACAATTGCTAAAATTTCCTTTAGTAACGTGTTACCAGACAGCCCTCATGGTCATGATGTTATTTCAAATGCCTAATGTAAAAACATCCTGCTGAAATGAAAGATGATTGGTTTCCTATTATTTGAGCTAAACTTAACATTCTCAAGGGCCTAGATGGAAATCAGTGAAAAACTAAGACCCCTTTTCAAAGAGATTCCTTTTCCATGTAAAAGAAGAATTAGCACACTTTTTCTGTAAAGGCCAAATAGTAAATGCCTTAAATTTTGTGGGTAGTCTCTAAGACTACTCAACTCTACTGTAGCCTGAAAGCAGCCGCAGGCAACTTGTAAATGAATAGGCATGGCTATGTTCCAATAAAACTTTATTCACAAAAAACAAGGGGCAGGAGAGATTTGGTCCATTTGGCTATAGTTTGCCCACTTGTGAGCTAGAAGATCTCCACTTCAGTTCATTCTTAAAAAATGGGGAGGAAATTTTAGGTTGGTCTTATTGGAGGACTGAGAGAAACATCAAGCAGAGGGCAAGTAGGAATTCTTATCTATTAGGGCTGTTTCTGTTTCATTCTTATTTTATATAGGGAAGGGATGGATGAGGGGCTGCTCTGGGTAACCCTAGAAACCTGTGTTCTCTAAACTATATACAGGGTATATTATTCTTGCTTCTGATTAGATGGCTAGCCAAGGAGACATATTGGTATACATTCTTTATTCCCACACACTCTTTGGCTTCTTCTTATGTGCTGCCTGGCAGCTACTGTGTAGACAAAGATGAACAGGCTCATTGGCAGCCTTCTAGGAGCTTCCAATCTGGGTAGGGTAGGGGAGGCTGTGGTGAAAACAGACAAGTGCACAAAAAAGCATAGCATAAATAAAAATTTGGACAGGAGAAGTAAGAAGGTATTAACAAAGTACACTGAGCCCTGGCCAATGTGGCTCAGTTGGTTGAGCATTATCCCATGTACCAAAAGGTCCTCCGTTTGATTCCTAGTCCGGGTACATGCCCCGGTTGCTTGATCCTCAGGGGCATGCAGGAGGCAGCCTATTGATGTTTCTCTCTCATATCAATGTTTCTCTCCCTCTCCTCCTCCTCCTCTCGCTTCCCCTCTCTCTAAAATCTTTTTTTAAAAAGTGCATTGAGAAGACAAAGGCAGGAGAAATGAGCTTTGTCCTGGGTGATCATGGGTAGCATGACCACAGAGGCTGGGCCATGTGAATAAGAGGATCCCTGAAGGAGGGAAAGGCAAGACAGGAAGAGGAAACTGTAGGCACATTGGTACAGAAAGGCAGGGCATGTGCTGAAAATAGCGTACCCCTTGTACCTGGAGAGGAAGACGCCAGAGCTAGAAGCCTAACCAAATCTTCTGAGAGCCCCAAGGGCGGGGCTAAGTGTTGGGAGCTTATTCCACAGTGTAAAGGAGCTCTGGTGACTTCTGAGCAGATACATAAGTCAGACCAGAACTAGGCTTTACTCAGAGAGAATCCCCAGCAGTGTGGGGAAAGCTGGGCTCATTCAATGAACCTCCAGGAACCCTAGAGCAGGCTGTCTGAGAGAAATATAACGCAAGCCACAATGCCAACCATATATGTGATTTTAAAATTTCTTGTAACCAAAATTTCAAAAGTGAAAAGAATTAGTTTTTTAATTTAACCTATTTTGCCCCAAATGTTAAAATTTTGATATGTAATCAATATAAAAATTGTTCATGAAATATTTTTTTACCTCACACTAAGTTTTCAAAACCCAGTTTGTATTTTGCACTTAGACCAAGTCTTACTGCAGACTTGCGATGTTCCAAGTGCTCAGGGTGGCTAGTGGCCACCACACTGGACTCCTGCTCTAGAGCATCTGAGATAAGAGGCATCCGGGAAGGGACCCTGGTCTAAGCTGGAGGTGAGATCGAAGGACAGTCGTTTGAGGATGCCTGGCTGCTAATTTCGCTGAGTCTCCATGTGCCCTGAGTTCTTTTAGAATAACCAACATGGGAATAATTTCTTTGCCTTTAAAATATAATGTTCATATAACCCATGGACACAGACAATGGGGTGGTGAGGTCCGGAGGAGAGCGGATGGGAGCAGGCTGGAAGAACATAGATATAATGTTCACAAAATGTCATGTGGACTTAGAAAATTCTGCTCTAGTTAAAGGTAGGTAAACTGTGAAGGTAAGTTAATCTCAGGCTCCTTACTGAATGATTTACGTTACCATTCAGTAAGGAGTTTGAATCTTAACATTTTCCAGCTGAAAAGCCTCTTAACAATTATTTTATGACACCTTCCAATTCTACAAATGGCAGAGACTCACTATCACTCAACTAGATAGTACTCCTGAGGCTGCCTGATTCTCCCCCTTTTCCAGGTTACGGTGTGTGTGTGTGTGTGTGTGTGTATGTGTGTGTGTGTGTGTATGTGTGTGTGTGTGTGCGCCTGCCCATGCACACAGCAGAGACAAAAAGGAACAAAGACAGGCAGCAGAGATGAGGTGGGGGAAAAGGATGGTAGAACAGGAGCCATGAGGCTTTTTCAAGCTGCAAATGCCATCACTCCACTCGGATCCACTGAATCAGAGCCGGATTCACAGCCAGATGAAGGCAGTGCCATTGCTAATCTATGAGGAGACCTATATTATTTATTACCATTGGAAATTTAACAAAACACAGATTTTTAAAAATCAGAATACCTGAAAGGTGAAAAGATGAAAAGAAATACTTTATTAAACTACTTGGAGAGTTGGCTTAGGCGGGAGGAAGAGAGGGAAGTAACAGTGGGGATAGAGAGGGGTGCAGAGAGACATCGATGGAGTTTTTTGCCTGGTGTGTGCATATGAAGTTTGGGGTGGAACCAAGTAGCTAAATAAGAGGGGAGGTGGAGGTTATATCACTTGTCTTCATTGTTTCCTTTCCCCTTAGTAGCAGCATCTTCTCTTTCAAAGAATAAAGAAACATGGGAAATATGTCATAATATTACTTTAGGCACCATTTATTAGTCTGATCATAATGAGCTATGAACTATCGTGAGTCACCGACACTGATCAGTCGCACCTAGCCAGGGATGCGTAGTCTAAAAAGCTCTCTGGTGTTCCGTTTTGAACTCCTCTCTGTGGAGGTGAAACCATTGTAGTACCGCTTCCTGATTTCCCTGTGCAGGCCCCTCGCCTGGGGATTTGTTCCAATGCACGTTCCAATGCGTAGATCTGGGATGGAGCCCCAGGTTCAGCGTTTCTGACAGGCTTCTGGGTGATGCCCGTGCTACTTGCCTGCAGACCACACACCAAATATATAGAAAGGCCCCAGCACATCAGATATTTGTCTGAACACAGTAACAAAAGCATCCTTGGATATTTGCTCCTTTTACACACTGTATCCCCAGCTTTAAAGCTTGTGGTCCCCTTCCCTCCCCGCACACCCTGGCCTGGAATTTGCAAAGAGCTAAGAGATCACAGGGCCCTCATCTGTAAATCCTCAGAGCACACCTTTCCTTCGAGGCGCATCTCTTATCCTTTCGCCTTTCCGCCTTTAGGTATCGAAGCTGGAAAGAGAGAAGACTCAAGAAGTCAAGAGGATCCGGGAGCTGGAGCAGCGCAAGCACACCGTCCTGGTGACCGAGCTCAAAGCCAAGCTCCACGAGGAGAAGATGAAGGAGCTGCAGGCCGTGCGGGAGAGCCTCATCAAGCAGCACGAGCAGGAGATGGCGAGGACAGTGAAGGTGCGGGACGGGGAGATCCAGAGGCTCAAGTCGGCGCTGTGTGCCCTCCGGGACGGCAGCAGCGACAAAGTAAGGACAGCGCTCACCATGGAGGCCCGGGAGGAGGCCCGGAAACTGTTCGATGCGGAGCGCATTAAGCTCCTACAGGAAATTGCGGACCTGAAAACGGCCAAGAAGCAGGTGGACGAGGCCCTCAGCAACATGATCCAAGCGGACAAAATCAAGGCCGGGGACCTGAGGAGTGAGCATCAGTCCCACCAGGAAGCCATCTCGAAGATCAAGTGGGAGTCCGAGCGGGATATCCGGAGGCTGGTTAGTAACTCAGTGCAGAGCCGTTCTCTTTCCGGGGGGCCAGGGAGCAAGGGTTTGCTTTATCGGGTGTTTCTTTTGAGTGGATTGTCAACAGTGCCCACCTTTTGTCCCGTGTTCTCTCCAAAATACAGGATCGGTCGATAAGCAGGTAGGTAGTAGACAGACAGACAGACACAGTCAAAAGTGTAAAAGATTTTGGGTCACCTTTCTCATAAAAACTGGATTCTTCCAGCCCAGTACACATGGAAAATATCTATTGAATGACTCATGTTTTCTTGGGTGTCTATGAAAATATTCTAAATTATGAACGCTTCCAAAATCAGCCTGCTGTCATGTGCTTCCCATTTGTGAAAATGTTCACAGGGTAAGGAGAGTTTCTATGGCTCTCAAGACGTCTCAAACAAGGCAGCCGCTGGGGACATCCCGAGTGACTCACCAGTCTTCTCTCTAGGAACTATGCCTGAAAGGAGTAGGTAGAGCTATAAAATTCCCAGTCCTGTTTAAAATCGATTTCCTCCCAAATGAGCAGGGGTCACTATAATTTTTAAATTGGATGTCATTCCTAAGTAGCTTATTCCTAAGTTTGCTATTACCAAGTTTAAAGACCTACTTCAACCCCTATAGAGTTCGGTCTTTCTTTTTAATATGTATGACCAAAGCCATTGGTCTCTCAATATGTCAAAAAAACAAAACAAATATCATTATTGTGTGAAAGCTATACTATCCTAGGGTGACTTTGTCTAATATTTTAGAAGATACATTCACATGCATATACTCGGAATGTTTAGCATTAGTTATATCTTATCAAATTAAACATTACCTGTTAGAATGTACTTTATACTTCTCTCAGAACAATACTTTCTTGGGAAAAATTATACTTTCCCTCTTGTGTCTCCTAATTCTAAGCAATTCTTTCCTAAGAATTCTAATTATGTTCCTTGGATGGTATCTTGAGGATTTCAATTTGAAGTAAAATGTGCTTACCATAGAACATTTAAAAAAAAACTAAACATGTAATTTTCTTTGTACTGCAATACATTGTGACTGTAAAATGTTGCCTTTGCTACACTTTTTGAATTCTTGACCTGCAATTCATTCTATTGCACTGGTTGACAAAGGAAACCAAACACAGTGTAGAAATATGGGTCTCTGCTCTGCCTTTGATTTTTGAAACAACAGTGGCTGATGATAAAGAATCAGACCCGTGAACTCTGGAGTCAGCAGGTAGGTAAATGGAAAGGAAGCTTTACACGAAATATTTTTGTTTGTTGATGGTTTTCAGTGTTAAATCTACAAGTACATGTTGATGTGTTGTTTTCTCTATGATGTTTCTTTCACCAGCACACTGATGATGTGAATCCCTCTTAATAACTGTAAAATCTAAGCTACCTGAAGAGTCATTCAAAAATTGGGTATAAACCGAATAACATGGTAAACTTTTTCAATCATACAGATGCACTTTTCATTTTTATCTTCTTCTTATCCCATTCCTGTCCTCACCCCCAGCTCCATTTTTGGAACTGGAAGGGAGAGAAATGGGAGTAATTCTATATATATATTATATATTATATATATAATTCTATATCATATATATATGCAAATGAATCCCAACTAAGAATGGAACTATGGAAAATTCTGGTGTTCAGAGACCACAGTCCATTCTTATAACTATTGTACAATATAGAATTATATATATATAAATTTCCATCCCAACTAAGAATGGAACTATGGAAAATTCTGGTGTTCAGAGACCACAGTCCATTCTTATAACTATTGTACAACACAGCCTTCACACACTAATTACGGAATATCCTGCAGGAAACCACTTGGGGAAATGCTGGAAATAATCTTGGAGTCAGTCTAGCATAGACTCTAATAGAGTGGCTCTAAAGTCAGAAGACTGAATGTAAAATCAGGCCTCACCAATTAGCCACATGACTCTAACCACATTAACTCTTTGGTACACAGTCATCATCTCTAAAATGGTGATAGCCGAACCTACATCAAAGGATTGTTAATAAAATGAGATAAGGTATGTAAAGCTCTGCGTTTAGTGCCTTGAATGTGGTAAAAGATCAATACTTTTTGGTTGTGATGGTGGTGATGATGAGGATGATGATATGAGTGGTAATGGGGTACTTTCCCAGCAAATTGGGTATGATACATCAGAACCAACTAGGAGTATGCATATCTGGAACTGTGGTAAACTGTAAATAACACCATAGATGACAGGTCTGACAAATGAATGTGCTACTCAGTAAAGAATAACATTGCAGTCAATCTTCTACAAGGAGATAGAAACAAAGACCATGCTTTTATTTCCAAATTAACAGGACAGTTCAATTTCTCACCAAGCTACCAGTCGATATCACAGGATCATCTGGTAACTTGGAATTTAGCACAATGGCCACCCAAAATCAATCTAAAAGCCATCATGTGTCTTTGAAGCAATAGCTCACAGATATTTACATATGGGAAATACGTGACTATATAACACAGTTTCTGTCCCCTCCCCCCCCTTTTTTTTGGTCTGAGGAGCAAAGAAAGATTTATATAAAGTGATTTGTTATTATAAGGAGATATCTAAAAAGAAGAGTATAATGGTATAATGTTGCTTGTATTAAATGTCTTTTCTCTATCTCCATTTTGAATATTCACACTGGATATAATGAAATGAGGAGAAAGGTTTCACTCGATAGCTATGCTTTCTTCAAAATTTATTTACAGAAATTCACTTCACTTGCCCTCATCCAGGCCTGGCAAAAACATTCAGTCCAATGAAACTCTGAACAATTGGTATCAAATGTTTATAGGCCTTTAGTTGAGAAATATTTCTGAGGCCATGCGCAGACTTAGCAGAAATGAGAGTGAGGATCAATAAGTATATCTCACAGGAGTAGGAGAGAAAGAAGTGCTAATAAAACCAGGTACTTTCCATCCCTATTCTTGTTCCAACCATGGCTTTCTGACAGGAAGGGTAACATGGTTGCTAAGAATTGGCTGCTCTGAAACATGGATAGGAATGGAAAGAGCTAGACAACATGAACCACGGAAGGACCTCACTGCAGATTCACAGCCTGGATGCAAACATACTGGCCTGTGGAAATGACTAGGCTCCTAGGAAGTCTGTAGCTTCTCCAGTTACAAATGACCTACTCCTAGTGGCTACTGCTATTTGAACTGAACTCAAAGGTTATTCCCCCAGAGAGGAGTTGACATCCAAAATTGTTCTGGGAAACCCTGTAGTGGAATATTTAGGATCTGTCTTTATGAACACTAATGATCCATTTTCAAGTGAGCCTTTTCTTTCCATATTCAACCAACCCAAACTATTTCAAACAATATATAGACTCAAAGCATCTACACAGAACATACTAGAGAGAGAGAGAGAAAAAGACTCTCTTTGATACCTAACTAGCCTAGGATAGTCCTTCATTACACAGCATTGCCTTATTCATGAATCCAATACACTAGTCGTACTCATGACTTAGTTCTACAGCAATCAGTGGAAATCAGTTCAACTCAAAGCTGTTGTAAAAATGCATTTCTTTACAGCATGGTTAAATAAAATGTCCTGGGTGTCATTTAATTCAGATGGATGAAATCAAAGCCAAGGACAGGATCATCTTTTCCCTGGAGAAGGAACTGGAGACTCAGACAGGCTATGTACAGAAACTCCAGCTGCAGAAGGAGGCTCTGGATGAGCAGCTCTTTCTGGTCAAGGAAGCTGAGTGCAACATGAGCAGCCCGAAACGAGAAATTCCGGGGAGAGCAGGCGATGGCTCCGAGCACTGCAGCAGTCCTGTAAGTCTGTTCAAGTTGAAGTTACCAACACAGGAGTCATCTTTTATTTAGCTCCCAAGTTTTACTTTTCACTTAAGCTCTGTTCCTGTTTACTACAAAGAAATCAATTCCATCTCCTACTATAAAACCAGCGAGTACCTTGGGAACACGGTTTTCTAAACTCCTAGACAACAAAGTGGTATACACTGCATTAGCAGATCACAAGAGAATTACAGATCTTTTAAAACCCTTCATAGAATTTTTCTGGCCATCAATATCTGTTCAAACTCCAGCCTGTTATAAAGAATCATAAATTAGATGAAAATGCTTTGCCTCGTGCCAAGACTGGTAATTTTCCCTCGTGTGAACAATTGGGTTGGAAATTGGTAAAGACGGTTATCATCTACAGGGTCAAAATGTGTCACTAGAAAAGGCTAAAGCATTTATATCATCCTCTGAGCGCTTCTAGTCTGATTGAACTTGCCACTTATTTCTGTGGATGTTCGTCATTTTTATATGAGACACTATTTTCAGCTGTGCAGCAATAGAAATCAGCTTGTATGTAATTGACGTTCATACCTTATACCTTTCAAATTATTTAGCTGCTAAAAAGATGCAAGTGAATTATTTAGGAACAGAGACAGGTTCCAAAGTAGTACTTAGAACCAAGTAATGAATAATTTATGAATTGGTATTCAGGATATCTATACCCCAGTAGGTGGTGAAAAAGATTGCCGAACTTGGATTTAGCAGATGTCAGCTTTTGTTCTCTCATTGACACCTGCATGGAAGGTAGCATAATTAGCAAGAGAATGGGCTCTAGAGTCAGACCTTTTAGTTCAAATCCTGGATCTGCCCTTTACAATGTGACCTTAGTAGAGTTTCTTCATCTGTAAAAGAGAGGCAATAGTGGTATCCATAGGCTGGTCTGAGGTTTAGAAGACGTGATAATGTAAAATGTTGAACACAGTATCTGGCACATGGTTAGCATTTAATACATATTGGGTAGCCCTGACCGGTTTGGCCCCGTGGATAGAGCATCGGCCTGCAGACTCAAGGGTCCCAGGTTCGATTCCGGTCAAGGGCATGTACCTTGGTTGCGGGCACATACCCAGTAGGGAGTGTGCAGGAGGCAGCTGATTGATGTTTCTTTCTCATCAATGTTTCTCTCTATCCCTCTCCCTTCCTCTCTGTAAAAAATCAATAAAATATATAAAAAAAATACATATTGGGTATTGATTTATCGATACTAGCCATGAGCTCTTGAATAAGTTAGACCTGCCTGAATCTTACCTGTTCTGCTGAATCCTCTAGGATACTGTGAATCTGGGGATATAGTGAGTGTGAAACTGCCTTGTTAACAATACAGCACTATCAAAATGTAAGACAATAATGGCATTGCAAGAGTATGATGTTAATGGTCCTATGGACTCTAGAGAATAGAATTAAGCCATGACTGCTGTGTGTAAGCTGACCCATGACAATTATGTCAGTTAGGAAGCCAGTTGCCCTGAGCAAAATATACCAGCAATGGCTATCCTATATTCTGTGTCCTTCTATGCATGAAGGTCATGCACCAACCTTCTCCTCAGACCTTCTTCTCCAGGAATATGCAGGAATTTATAAACCCCATTTCTACCTGATACTCTATCCCCTCTTTGGCTAAGTTTATTTTTTTAATTTCTTTTTTTATTGATTTCAGAAAGGAAGGGAGAGAAAGAAATAGAAACATCAATGATAACAGAGAATCATTGATCAGCTGCCTCCTGCAGGCCCCACACTGGGGATCAAGCCCGCAAACCCGGCATGTGCCCATACCGGAAATCGAACAGTGACCTACTCAGTCATAGGTCAACACTCAACCACTGAGCCAGGCTAGCCGAGCTCTTTGGTTAAGTTTCATAGCAGGATACTGTCTAAGCCATGGGAAGCAATGTCTAGCCACAACAGAAGAATGCTCTTTGAACCTCATACAATCACAACATGACGGTCGTCTCATAGCTCACAGATTTAATAAGCTGATCAGACATCTACCTCTCCCTCTGCCAGGAGTCAGAGCTCCAGGGAGTAGCTGCCAAATAAAAGTCATCTGCAGTTTCAACTAGGCTTGGTCTTAAACCCAAGTGGTAAATATTGGGGGTTCAAAATGGGTAAATATTTGCTCTTCTCTGAATAAGAGAACATTTTACTCTCACCTCGTAAGCCAGATGAAAGGACGTAAACCTATTACTATTATAAACTGTATTCCAAAATTTTGTGAATAGTGTTCTTGGCAAATTACCCATTTTAACTTTCATGTGTGTAGGATTTGCGGAGAAATCAAAAGAGAATAGCTGAATTGAATGCCACTATAAGAAAATTAGAAGACAGGAATACCTTGCTTGGAGATGAACGAAATGAATTGGTGAGTTCTCGTCAGCATGTTTTATTTTGGGTTAAGCATTATGTGATAGAAGTAAATATGATGTTATGGATGTATAACAATAGAGAAAAACCCACAAATAATAAAGGTAAACTCAATAAATATGCCCAAAGTGATAGACCCATGTGACTCCATCCAGATGAGTAAGTGGAAGATTACCAGTGTCTCAGACCTCTGCTTCTTGTGACTCCTTCTGAAGTTACCCACTACACTGACTTCTATTATGAGATATAAATTCAGCTATGGCCTTTGACATAAGATGGGAGTTTTCAAAGGGCGTTTGGGACTGAGTTGGGGGATATTGCTTTAGAATCACAAGAGCTTTTTAACGTATTCGTAGGTAGCTAAGTCTCCTATCGCAGCAATTCCCCAAATGGTAGGTTCTCCTAAACAAGAGTGAGCACTTTAAACAGCCTTTCAGCTATTTCTGATACACCCCTCCCCGTTCCTTATTTTGGTACCCCCGCCCCTAATGCATACTCCCATTCAGAGCCATTAGCGCGAAGTGAATGAAGTAATCAGGAGAACTTTGACACGGAAATATATGATATATAGGGTGACCATAAAATCTGTCATCCAAATGGGAGTTTTGAGAGGAAAAGGGGAGACTGTTCATGATTACCCTATGTCAACATTTACGAACTTAAACCAGTATTTCTCAACTAGAGGCGATTTGGACAACATCTGGAGACATTTTTGGTTGTCACAACTGGGAGGGAACTACTGGCATCTCGTGGGCAGAGCCAGGGATGCTGCTAAACATCCCATAATACACAGAACAGCTGGTCACAACAAAAGTAAAATCTGGCCCCAAATGTCTAGAGTGCAGAGGTTGAGAAACCCTGCCTTAGACTAAAGGGGCCAACCAGAGTATGGTCACAGTTTATTGGTGGCTAGGTAATAGCACAACCGTACTTCACCAAGGCTTGGTGAGAATTGGTTGTTCTTAAACACAAATATCAATAGAGTTTCAGAAATAGGTTTCGTTTGTTTTGTTTTACTCAATAAAGCTGTCCTAAAAATAAACAGCTTTAGTGTGAGTCAGGAGACTTGGCAAGATCCCTGATGGAGAGAATGGGCTTCAGGGACAACCACGCTGGGATTCGGGCCCTGATTGTACTACTTAGTGATTGTGTGTGTGATTCTTCCAGCCAATGAGGCCCAGGGCGGTGTGAGCAGGGTGGGCTGGGGCTGAGCAGAGCGGGGTACCTGGGCTGGAGGAGTCTAGGGGAACAGGAGTGCGATTCCTCTTCCTGAACGTTTCCAAAAACAGAATCTCGGCAGCACCTCCTTTAAAGGCATAGACTGTTGGAAGGTTCTGAAGAATGTGACGAAATGCCATTCAAGGAAACTGTAACTTGTGTCTTCTCAGTTAAAGCGCGTGCGGGAAACCGAAAAGCAGTGTAAACCTCTCCTGGAAAGGAACAAGTGCCTCGCCAAGAGAAACGACGAGCTGATGCTGTCCCTGCAACGCATGGAGGAGAAACTGAAAGCCGTTACCAAGGAAAACTCCGAAATGGTGGGTGTCCCAGACGCTGTAAAACCGCAGCGTCCTTGCTCAGCTCACCCAGTCACCTGACTTACTGCTCTCTTGAAGCTTTGTTTTTTAAATACAATGCTATTTATGAAAGCTCAGATTTTTCCCTTTGTAAGCAAGGAATCTTTAAGGGGGAAAAAAAGCAAAAGTTGGTTGCTGACTCTGGGTTTTATAGAGTTTCTAAATCTGCAGAACAGTAGGAGTGCTTCCAGGAATCTGCACACGCTCTGCAAAAGGTCTGAAACAGAGAAGCAAAGTTTCAACAGAGCTCCTCAGCCAGACACCTCCTTCCAAGAATTTCACGAATGTGCCCTTCACAGAACTGTACAGTGGTACCCTCCTCTTCGAAGAGCTTTCACGATAGTGGGGGGATAGATGCCATCTTTTGTATTATGTATGGATAAGTCATATGCCAATGCATTCCTTCACAGGCGTTCACTACAGCGATCGAGATCTCCAGACCTTGCCAATGATTTTGACTTATTATAGCAGCTAAAGTGTACCTGAGAGTTTTAGTTGGCATGTGTGTGTATTGAAGCTGGGAAATTTTAAATTTAGCTGGAGCCTCATAAAGTTTCTATAGATGTTTTATGTTAATCACTAACATTTGGGATTTTTAAAGTCTTCACCTGTACATTCCTCTTTTCCAATCCAGAGAGAAAAAATAACAACCCATCCACCCTTGAAAAAATTAAAATCTCTGAATGACCTCGATCAAGCTAATGAAGAACAAGAGACAGAGTTTCTCAAACTTCAGGTCATTGAGCAGCAGAACATTATTGATGAGCTCACCAGGGTAGGTCTCAATCAATCTGTGAACCCTAAGCTGTTCCCAAGGATAAGTAGCCAAGGCACCACCATACACTGGGAGCACTTAATAATTTTGGATTAGCCCCAAAAGCCTGAGTTCATATGTTTAATATGTAAATAGGTTCAAGAGACTCTATTCCAAAAATGCTTTATATTGTTGAACTGTTTTATACCTTTTCAATTATAATCTGATTATCAGTAATTATAATAAACTAGAGGCCTGGTGCATGAATTCATACACCAGTGGAGTCCCTCGGCCTGGCTTGCAGGATTGGGCCAAAACCGGCTATCTGACATCACCCAAGGGGTCCCTGATTGTGAGAGGGTGCAGGCCAGGCTGAGGGACCCCACCGGTGCACGATCAGGACCAGGGAAGGATGCGGGAGGTTGGCCATCCAGGGAGAGCTCTAGGGTGTGTGTGGCCCATCTTGCTCAGTCCTGATCAGCCAGACCCCAGCAGCAAGCTAACCTACAGGTCAGTGCATCTGCCCCCTAGTGGTCAGTGCATGTCATAGCGAGCAGTTGAGCAGCCTTAGCATATCATTAGCATATTACGCTTTGATTGGTTGAACGGCCGACTGGACAACCAGACACTTAGCATATTAGGCTTTTATTATATAGGATTAATTTGTTAACTAATCTGGTAACACAAATAATAGCTGCAAACTTTCAAATGCTTTATACTGTGAGTGGGTAGGTCATGTGGGTATATCTTATAATTGCCTCCAGTAAGATTCTGAGACTTACAGGTTAAATATTTCACCTACAATAATAACAGGACTATATGCTTCTTGTTTCCCAACTTCTAATTCAGTATCTAGCACATAGTTGCAGTTTAATAAATATTTGTTGAACAGTCACGTCATAAGTAGTGACAGAGCTGAGATTGCAGCCCAGATCTTCTGACCATGACTCCAGTACCTGGTGAAGCAGGTAGAGCAAGTATTACTCCCATTTGCATCTGGTTAAAGTCCATGTTAACAACAGCTGTGGATCAAGGCTTTTAATGCCTTTGGGTTGCCTCTCTGCCTCTCTGTCTTTATGTTGTGAATGACACCTCTGGTCACTCTCACTTCAGGACCAAGCCAAGGCCCTGAGGAGCTAGTGAGGGGGGTTAGGCAATAGTCTCCTAATAGAGTGAGCAAGGTGATTTAGAGCCCGGGGAAGAAAAGATTATAACTTTTGTATATAGTTACTTGTGGTTTACCCTTTTAAAATGTTCTATGCTGAGTATATGTTGTAATGCATATACTCTATTAGGAGAGTGATCTAAGCATACATTTTTTAAAGTTTCAGATATATTGAAGTTGCATGACCAAAATATTTTTACATATAAAAGTGAGAAATCAGAAAGGTTAACACCAATGACTTAAACCAGCTTATTTATCAAACATGGCCTTCTGAAATGCTATGCCTCTCCCTTCACTTCCATACTGTTCATAAATTTCACAGGCTCACTAGTCTAGGGATTTGTTTGGTTTTAAGTATCCTGAGTTTAAGCTAAAAGTTTCTTATAGAATTTGGACACATTGAGGCATGTCAAGCAGACTCTCAGGAAGACATAAGTGCCCCTTACTTCATCTACTTTTGAATTTGTACAGTAAATACCTGAAGTACTTAGTACAGCGGTTCTCAACCTGTGGGTCGCGACCACTTTGGGGGTCGAATGACCCTTTCACAGGGCTCGCCTAAAACCATCAGAAAACACATATATAATTACATATTGTTTACAGTAGCAAAATTACAGTTATGAAGTAGCAATGAAAATAATTTTATGGTTGGGGGTCACCACAACATGAGGAACTGTATTAAAGGGTCGCGGCATTAGGAAGGTTGAGAACCACTGACTTAGTAGATGAACACCAAATTCCCAGGATATCTCTATTCACAAGAATGAATCAAGAAATCATTATTTCTAGATATGCTTTCATTTCCCCGAAAATTCCAATGAGAACTCCCCCCCCCACACCCTCACCCCTCAGAAGCCACTAGATCAGTGATTTTTAACCAGTGTGCTGCAAGAACTTTTGAAACATGCAATACCTGACTAGGGACACTGATTTGTTCTCTCTAAGGTTGTCAAATAAAAATATGACAACAACCAACACAATAATAGCTATCCGGTGTGAATGAATCAAAATTATACCTATTTTTTTGTCTTATCGGCAAAAAATATATTTTTTAGTGCCAGATAATTTTAGTAATTAGTTTATATATGCCATGAGATGAATAAGGTTGAAAATCACTGCACTAGATGATTTCAGCCAAGACACTGTTCCCATCTCCAGAGGCTGCTGGTGAGAACAAGGATCCAAAAATAGTCAAAGGTAGTTTTCTATGCCTGTCAAGTGATTGAAAGAAAGAATAAGGCCTTCCTTTGTTGTGAAATGGTATTTTTTCAACATTTAAATTGAAAGTAATTTTGGGTTTGAGAAAACTGCAGCATTGTGCTTTGGGAGAATATGAGTAACTATTTTCAGAGCTATTTGATCTTGAGTATAAAACAAAGGATTCTGATTAGAAACACAGTACGCTTCCTCATTGTGAGGCTCTCAGATTTACATAGATTATTAGGACAAGTTGTAGAATGTCCTTACTTTGAAAATATTTAAGCATCAAACCCAAAAGTTGCTAAAATTTGCACAACATAATTTTTTACCCCCAGGGAGAGGGAGAGAGGGATAGAAGCATCAATGATGAGAGAGAATCATGGATTGGCTGCCTCCCACATGCCCCCCACTGGGGGTCAAGCTTACAACCCAGGCATGTGCCCTGACTAGGAATAAAACCGGGACCTCCTGGTTGATGGTTTGTTGCTCAACCACTGAGCCACACCAGCCTGGCAATATAATCTTATCTTAAATAGAAATATGTAATGTCTCTGGGAAAAACAACCCTGTCTTTGCAAAGCAAAACAAAACAAACAACAACAAAACCTATAAGGAAAAATGTACCAATTCAAGGTCTGAAAAGTCCTTGGTCTGTTTTCCAGGACCGAGAAAAGCTCATCCGCAGAAGAAAGCATAGAAGAAGTTCCAAGCCAATTAAGGTAATGAGGAAACTAGGTTAGCAGGCTCTGCCATGGCCAGAGAAGTGAGGCTTGCCAAGGAATCTTCCTGCAAAGATGTGATAAGTCAGGTGTCCCGAGAAGTTCAAACCATGGGCTTTATTTACTAAAAGAAAGACTCTCCTCTTGACAGTTTTCAGTCCAAAAAATTTTAACCTGAAAAGGTTTGCTTTACTATGACCTTCTCTGAGTTAGGAAGCCACAAGGCTTGACATAGAAAGGGTTATCTGACAAGTTGGAGAGAGTCACACTCCAGGAACGTACAAGTGACACATAGGATGGGGTGTCTCTCACTGAATATTAGCATCTGAAACCTACCCTATAACTGATTAATGTATTTTCGTTATTTACTTGCACAATATTATGGGTAATGATAGTCCCAATTCACCAATATCTGTGTAACCTCTTATTAAATAGTAAAATCACAAAGTCTTATTGTTTAATTTGTCTATTTGTTTGATTTTTGTTTTTATTGGGGACATCGTTTCATTTGGTTATGGAATTAGGTGGTAAGACTTCAGATTTGATAATCCTCTTCACAGAGATGCCTGGCCTTTCAGAGTCCCTTGATAGTTTTAAATACTGAAAGGAGTAAGTGACATAAACTCATCATGGTATAAAATGTACTGTAAAAGAGGATACGATGTTTCTATGAAGAGAGCCAATATTAGTGAGTTTCCCCAAAAATATCAGAAATTGAATAATATGGGACAAACATGCATTGGAATTATTATGGTCGTATCCATATTTTCATTTCATAAGGAAGCAGTAAAGGATCCATGTCTTTTATAATCATTTGCACGTATGCCAGTTAACAGTGCTTTAATAATGTGTCAACTTTTCCCACTTTTATCTGTCAGTAAATATGTACTTTCCCTCCATTAGAGGCCTGTTTTGGACCCATTTATTGGTTATGATGATGACTCCATGGACTCAGAGACATCATCCATGGCCTCATTCAGAACAGACCGAACACCAGCTACTCCCGATGATGACTTAGATGAAGTAAGCCTTTCTCTAGTCTTTGGTGATAATGTCACCAAATCTTTATTTTGTGGGGGGGAAAAAGCATTTCACATCTGTATCTCCTTTTTGAACAGCACAAAATGATTTCATAATAGTGAAATAAGACTTCAGACCAATTTTGAGACCACACTTGATTTTGATAACTCTTAGAAAATAGTTCATTTGTGTCATGTAGCCCTTTTACACGATTCTCTAAAGTTCAGCTCTGTAACTTGAAGACTTCTTTCAAAATAAAAGTTACAGTCCCCGAATTCTTCAGCGAGGGAACCTGTGAATCAAGGGTCAAGCTTGTAGATATAATCTAAGACACTGTTAAGCAGTGTGCACTGTCAACCACCTTCATCAGAACCATCTAAGGAGTTCAATTACAATGAAAACACCTGGGCCCTACCACACAACTCCTGACCCAGGATCTATAGGGTGGAACCCCAAAATCTGCATTTTTCACAGAACTCCCTGGTGATTGTATTGTGCTCTGAAGCTTGAGACCTTAAGCTGTAAAACTATGTTTTTCATAATTTATCTGGGGAAGAAGTTGTTGGATATGAATGTATTGAAAACAAGTGAGACTAAAATTATGAATACCATTTTCTCAAATTTGGACCCATAGTCAGGGTACACATTCTTCTCATTTGGATCCAAAATTGACTGCAACCCAAGCCCAAAGAGGTAATAATTAGAAATGTATAAACAAATGCTTCTCTTGTTAAAATAAATAGTAAAGCATTTCTGTGGTATCCATCTTGAAAGTATTACAGTATTTTTTTAAATTTTATTTTTCAATTTCAATTTAATTTTTTCAGTTTACTTTCAATATTATTTTGTATTGGTTTCAGGCGTACAGCATAGTGGTTAGACAACAATATGCTTTACAAAGTGTCCCCCTGATATTTCCAGTACCCACCTGGCACCATACATAGTTATTACAATATTATTCACTATATTCCCTACGCTGTACTTTAAATCCCCGTGACTATTTTGTAACCACCAATTTGTAGTTCTTAATCCCTTCACCTTTTGACCCAGCCCCCAACACCCTCTCCTAAAATACTACAGTATTTTTGTCCATCCACATACTTTAGAATTAAGAATAAGTCACACAGAATTCAAAATCAAACAAACCTTTAACTTCTGAACTTATGTGCATATATGCATAGCACATGAACAGACAATAGTGCAGGGAAGGCCCAGGGAGGGGGCAGGATTGAGGTGGATGTGTCAATGGGGGAGGGGGGGGACATCTGTAATACTTTAAACAATAAAGATAATTTTTTTAAAGTAGACAGAGGTTAATATTTCACATTGGACACAGGACCTGAACTTAGCATAATTATTTTTTGGCCTTTTTTATTTTTTCTACCTCAAGAGTTTAGCAGCTGAAGAATCTGAGCTACGATTTCGACAACTAACAAAAGAATACCAGGCCCTCCAAAGAGCATATGCCCTCCTGCAGGAGCAGACTGGAGGCATCATCGACGCTGAAAGGGAGGCCAAGGTTAGTGTGTGTCTCGGAGAATGCTCGGAACTGGCTTTTTACGCAGCCCTGGCAGCATCAAAGAATCACGGACATAAAAATATCAATAGGGTAGCTTTCCCTGTGCCCTTCGCTCCTCTGCGGCTTTTGAACTGTTGTATCTTTTATGTCAACAAGCCTTGGATCTAGAGACATTAGAACCAGCCTGGGTCGATGCTTTTGTTTCTTTTAGATACTTGAGTATCTTGCTGTTTGAAAACTTAACATTTTCAAAACTAGACAATATTGAATGTTGATAATTCATTTTTTCAGTTTCTTGTTTGGGGAAAAAAAATCACTTTTATCTTTCAATGGTTAGCCAGTTTCTTTCCTTAGTTAGTAAGTACACAGCATTACATCAGCAGCCTCCCGAGAATTTCCACTGCCAATATCTCACTTAACCCTTGTGACAGCTCCCAAAGGCAGGTATTTTATCAAAGAGGAATTTGAGGCTGAGAGAGGTTCATTGAATTGCCCAGGATCACACAGGTAATAAATGGGAAACTGAGATTCTAACTCAAGTCTTACTGGATCAGATGTTCCTTCCATTTTTTTACAACTGCCTTTCATAAGCCTATTTCAAAAATATATAAATAAACACACACAATACTAACATTTAACACTTATTTAGTGCTTGCTGTGTTCCAGGCATTGTGCTGAGCACTTTATATACATTTATATCATGTAATCCTAAAATAGCCCTATGCATTAAATGCTTTTGTTACTTTCTTTTTATAGGAGTGGAAATAATATCTTAGAAAGACTTAAAGGTAGCTTAGCGCAATTAAAATGAGAATATGTAGCTTAGATTACAGCTAGGATATGAACCTAGTCTTTCTGAGTTCAGAGTTAGAACCACCATGCCATAACTGCCCCAGAGATTAATTAGCAAGGGAGCAAAAAGGAGTGTGATCTCCCAGTGGTTTTATCCTCCTTCCTATTTACAGGTCTAGAGCAGGGGTGGGGAACCTTTTTTCTGCCAAGGGCCCATTTGGATATTTATAACATAATTTGTGGACCTTAGAAATTAGCCTGCTATATATCTGGTCAAACATTTAATGAACTCACCCCTAATGCCTTGGCAGGGCTAAACCACGGGCCTTATATGTCCTGTGGGCTGGACGTTCCCCTCCCTTGGTCTAGAGCAGCCGTGGTCAAACTACGGCCTGCGGGCCGGATCCGGCCCGTTTGAAATGAATAAAACTAAAAAGAAAAAAGATCGTACCCTTTTATGGAATGATGTTTACTTTGAATTTATATTAGTTCACACAAACACTCCATCCATGCTTTTGTTCCAGCCCTCCGGTCCAGTTTAAGAACCCATTGTGGCCCTCGAGTCAAAAAGTTTGCCCACCCCTGGTCTAGAGAGTATGCTAAGGAGTGTTGTAGGACCTACTGTTAGTTGTTTAGTGGAAAGGATAGATATTATAGTTATATATTTTTAAGTGGTGACATATATACATATATACATGCACATATATATGAGTAAACATGTTTACAAAAAAAGCAATCATCAGAAAGGGGTGTATGTGTGCACCTTCATATTTATGTCCTATAACTATAATAGTTGTGGTTTTCATTATCAGCATTTATTAAGCATTCTTACCAACAAGTATTGCCAATTAGAATAATAGCATATGCCTTGTGTTTTGGAGAGCTGGTCATATAGAAATTAGTTGTTTTACTCTTACCTCACTTTCCCATCTAAATAAAAGTTTAGCTTTATCTCTGGCTATTAGAATAAAATAAAAAAACACTTAACATGCAAAGCAAAACAGTCTAAAATGAATCAAGATGTTGGAAAAAGAGCAACACAGTAAATTCAAAGAAGTAGAAATGAAAAAATAGACAATGTAATATAGATGAAATATCAATGAAAACAAAAGATAAAAAATTATTTCGATGCAAGAAAAAAATTAGAGTACACTCAATACCCATTCAAAGTTAAAATAATTCTTAGCAAAATTAAGCTTGGCATTTTTTAACCTGATAAAGATAAATATAATACTTAACAGTCCAAATAAATATTCTCCTCACAATAAGGAATAAAGAAAGGATACCTACCATTCCTGACTTTATTCACTTTTGTAACAAAGAATTTATGCAGATCATAAGAGAAGAGAAAAATATATGTATGTTCAGAAAGAACAAAACCTAATTTTTGCAGAAAATAGAATCATAAACAGAGAAAATACAAGAGTAAGAATAAATTACTACAGTAAATGAAGTAGGGTTATTCCTTACAAGATCAGTGTTCAAAACTATTAATATACACAACACTTGACATATACACGGACACATACATACATAAATACTTGGATTTGGATTTAGATTTAGGTCACAAAGTTGGCTCTGAATGAATGGAAAGATTTTGGAGAGGCAAAATGGGAGAAGGCTTTTCAAATGAGAGCAAGCTGGAGAGTCACAAAGCATATTTAGGAGACGGGAGATCACCAGCAGGTAAGGGGTGGACTGTGGTGTTCCTGAACAGTGGGAAAAGATTGGAAATATAACGGGAAATCTCAAATCCCAAACTAAAGAGCTTGAATTTTAACCCAATGGCAAAAAGAGCCACTGAAAGTTTTAAGCAAGAATTTAGATCACAAAAATAGTTTTAAGGGATTCTTTGGTCATAGAATGTCCTTCTTTTTTTCCTTGTTGAGTTCTAATCAAGGAAGATGAGGGGAAGAAAAATATTGAGCTACCATTTTACTTACTGAGTTCTGGATTTTTGATTTCACTAGGCTCAAGAACAGCTCCAAGCAGAGGTGCTAAGGTATAAAGCCAAAATTGAAGATCTGGAAGCGACTCTGGCTCAGAAAGGGCAGGTAGGCATTCGGTTGCTGGCCATTCGATCTGACCTTCCTTTAGATCACCCTTGTGCATGGGCCACACCCAGGACACGGCTTGGCTCTCCACAGTGACCTTTCTCAAATGTGTCAGAATGTTCAGCGCTATGTTTCTGTCCCTGGTGTTTTTCTGGCCAGAGCGTGAACCCAGCTACAACAGCGAATGAGGTTGGGCAAGAGGGAGAATGCCAGAGGAAGAGAAGCCCTGTACCGATAGCCTAGAGTGGTCACACACTGCTAAGACAAGGACCCACCCCTGCAGCTGCATTCGTTGCCTCTACGCTACATTTATGGTTCTGCATTTTAATGTTTTCCATCCATATGTATCTAGCCTGTGTGCATTCTGACCCTTGTCACTCTTTGCCTGTGTGGTCACTTCTGAGTCCCCAAAAGGCTGATCCTGGATTATTCAGACTGAAAAAGGTAGAGGTAGTGAGTGACGATGAAAAGGGGGTTCAATTTTCCTGGCAGCTTTGGCCCCAGAGTCTCTGAATAAGGAGCTGGCAGGGGTGGGTGTCATTGACCAGTGGTTGGCAGGCAAACAAACTGGGTGAAAAGAAGACGGCTCTGGCAAAGTGGTTTGACAACACGGGCTCTTTCGTGCCACTCTGAAATGCTGACTGCGCGATATTCTTTGTCAAACAGGATTCACACTGGGTAGAAGATAAACAACTTTTCATTAAGAGAAACCAGGAGCTTTTAGAAAAGGTATGTTGGGCGCAATACCCTAGTGGGGCAGAGGAGACAATGATGAGAGATCCAGGAGCAGCAGGGGTCCTCTCAGGAGTGGCACAGGGGCCAGGGGAAGGGGCGGCTTCTCGGTGCTGTATTCTCCTCTGCTGTGTGCTCGACTGCATCCCTGTCACCGCCATCACCATCAGTGGAGTGGCACGTGTGCATGGCTCTGTGCTGGGCATTGCGCCAACGCAAAAGGATGTGATCCCTGACACCTATTGATGTGTTAACCATATATATATATATATACTGTATATATGCTGTACATACATATATATATATATATATACACACCCACACGTGCACACATCCTATGTGGTTGTCCATCTATAAAAAGCACACTATGAATAGGACTTGTTATTTTGTGCAAGGAAGTGACAGGTTATGACTCCAAGTCCATGCTGCAACCTATCACAGACAGTTTTCACTTTTAGTCTCTTTTGCTCAACTTGGCTGTTAATTTTAATAAAAGAACTTTTGAAAAGATTCCTCCAAAGCACAAAAGTTCATGTCCAGGATTTTGTTCAACAAATCAAGATGCAAAAGCTACTTTAGTCCCAGATGATGGGTTATTTTGATTTGAGGCAATGAAATATAACAGATCATTTTAAGTTCAAAGGTGGCTTTTCCTTTGGTATTTACTTTCCAGGAATATAATTTTTAAATTGCAACATAATCCTTTATATTTTTCTTGACAAAAATAGAATTTGAAAGCCCATTGGAATAAGGGAAATAATTCTGTAGGTCTACCCAAAATAATATAGAAATTATCTTAGAATAATTTCTGCCAATATTTCCTAGCTTTGACAAGTAATAGAAATTAACCACAAAGAAAGGAAAGAAGATACTAGTACTTGTCCTCCTTCCCCTCTGGCCTGGCAAAGTTAGGACATCCTATCTCACCTTCTGCATGATTAGAGACAGGGCTGATAGATACAAAGTAGGTGGGTATTTCAGGACTGAGAACTCATACCCTCAGAAAGGTTAAGGGTCCCTACAAAGAAACCTTATTAGACATTGGCTCTGGTCTGAGAATTACAACCTACAAACCAGTTATCTACTTGCTAGCACTAAACACCAGAATCAGGAATTTCCCCAAATATCCCATCTCTAGTCCCAATCCAAGATGCTAGAAAGTAGAATATTTTTGTGATCTAAGTCAACTTCTGAAAACTTTCAAAAATTTACTTGACCACAACAATCTAGTGTAAAAATCTTGAATTGACTTGAATTAATGTCACACAGCTCACTATTTTCCCATCTTTATTTCCCTCTAATTTTTGTATATCATGAGGCTATGAGTAAAAGAGGATTTTAGCAGTCTCAGAAATGCCCAGTAATATGTGCTATTACATCTCTTTATCATCTAAAAAATAATTCCCATTATGTCTTCTGTCTGATTTCATTTGGTCTTGATTTCTTTGGGCTAAAAGCAGAATGTTGAGCTCAGATTTTTAAAAGTGAAACAAAACTGAAACAACAATAAAGCAAAGCATCCTACTTCAAGTATGTATACTTGGGAAAGTAAAATTCATCCTATGCTGAAAAGCCCCTGTTTTTTTATATTTCTAAATTTAAGGTTTTAAATAATTACTGAGAAATGTCTACCCACATAGCTAATACCAGAGGCAGCCCATAACCCTTTGCAGATCATGAAATTTGTTGATTCCTTGTAGACATGGACCCTGTCTATAGGGTGAGGCATGTTCATACACAACCAACTTAATTCCATGCTTCATCAGGTTTTACTAGAAGTCCTATAGGACAGCCCTATAGGAAAACAGAGGAGGAGTTATTATTTCTGGATGGGTAGACATGGAAGCTCTTAGGGTAGGAAATGTTAGAGCTTGATGTTCCAGGAAGTGTAGAATTTCCTCACCTAGAAAAGAAGTGGGGGGACCCCTCTTAGGCAGACAGATGAGCAAAGGTAACTCCTGAAGTAGTCAGTCCATGGAGTAGATCTGGTTTCTAGATTCTAGTGTGTATGTGTTCATGTGAGTGTGTGAATGTGTTGAGATGAGAGTGATAACATTTAAAACTGGAAAGCTACCTGGTAACCAGAATATCAAGGTTTTTAAATACCATACTGAGAAGTTTGGCTTAACTCTGAAGGTAATTGGAATTCAGCAAAGTTTGTATATGATCAGAGATGTTTTTTAAAAATTACTTTCCCGACAACTTGTAAGTCCAGAAATAAGAGGTGTAAGATTCCATTATTTACCCCATTCAGTCTACTTCTGGGATCCCCAGCAAGGCCATAATAAGTACCCTCAGATTCACTACTCACAGGGTCTCTAGACTTTATCTCAATGAATGGAGGTGTCCTCCGGCGTTTTCCTCTATGACCTGAAAAACTCAACCGAAGGATAACTGGAAGGAAAGCCAAAGACTTGCCATAGTCACATCTACTTGGGATTTTTTTTTCATGGTCTAGATGGTTTATTCACTGAGTAAATGAATGCTATCTATGCTTGCTTCGCAAAGTTGTATTGGCAATGCTCTCCTAACTTGAGGATTTACTTTATTAGATAGAAAAGCAGGAGGCAGAAAATCACCGCTTACAACAGGAACTGCAGGATGCCAGAGACCAGAATGAACTGCTGGAGTTTCGAAACCTAGAGCTAGAAGTAAGGAAATGATGATCATAGTGATGATAATAATCATAATAGCTAACACACATGGAGCACGTGCTATGTGTGAGGTGCTGAATTAAGCATTTCAGCTGCATACTCTCATTGGACCTCACAGCCACAATCCAGGTTTTATAGATGAGGGAAGTGAGGTTGAATCCATCGCCCAAGTCCTGTGATTAGTGAGTGGTAAAGCATTGATGCAATTCAGGATGTCTATCTAGATACTGTATTTTTTCAACACTATTAATGCCTTGATGAACAAGACTAATGAATAGACTTTAAATAATTTAAAGAAGCAATTTCAAACTTCATCAGTGATTCATTGCTTTTAAACAATCATTTCCATCCTTCATTTAATTCTGACTTGAAAAAAGTCACCTTAAAACTTATATTTCAAAGTGTATTATATGCAAAATTATTTTATCATTAGACATTTGAATTTTTCAGTCAACTTTTTTAGTCTATAATGCATTTATGCCAAAAGCTAAGAAGCAAGGTAACTTGTTTTGAGAAATACTTTGGTTAATCTAACCAAATTTCAGAATTGTGTTTTTGTTTTTTAAGTAAAACCTATCAATCAAATAAGATTTTGATTGTATCATGCAGAATCTGGCTTAGGATCTGGTTGAATGTATGTTGAAATGTAAAGGATAAGAAACATTCTTATTTAATTTCTCTTATTCTGCCAACAATTTCTTCTTGAGGTCCTTTCAAATTAGGTCTGGATAGAGTTAGTAGTCAGTATGCTTCAATGAAAAAGAGTTGTATTTGGTAGCCCATATACAGCACATTATTCATAAAGCTTGAGTGGATTGAATATGCAAAAGTCTGTTAGCTGCCATAAAACTTCATGGTCAAAAGATAACTCTTTGTGATGCCTAAAAGCTCTAAATATTCAGATAGTTTGAATTGCAACCCCACTTCCCACATTTCCCTGATCAAAAAAATTTGCAAGATTGGATGACACCATCTATAAATTCCCTTCCATACCTTTGTTGACTAATCAGTCATTTCCATTAAATTTAAGCATGAACATCTTGAGTTCTTTTTTTTCCAAATGTCATATTGATACACTGCTGAAATAGCAGACAACTGGTTTAGTGTTTAATCAGTTGTTGCTTTTTTTTAATGCCCATATATTCTCCACTGTATTTCAAGGAAAGAGAGAGACGGTCCCCTCCATTTAATCTACAAATTCACCCATTCTCAGATGGTGTGAGTGCTCTCCAGATCTACTGTATGAAAGAAGGTGTCAAGGTAGGCAGATATTTGATGTTTTATGTTTGTAAGAAAGTGGAAAAACTGGGAATTGGAAAAGGGGAGGTTGCTCATGACTTTCGTCTTTTGGTCATTTTGATACAAACCGGGTACTAATTGAAAGTAGTCATGTCCATTGGAAAATCAATAGAACATAAGATAAATGTGTGACAGATGTGTGAAATGTAACAACAAAGAACACAGGAAGCCATGATTATTTAGAACAGAGTAACATAGAGAATATGAATTCAAAATATTAATATAATGACCTTTAATTATCTAGAGGAAATATTCAATGAATTCAGTACTTCAATAAACATATTTCAAGTATGCTAGATAAAAATGTACTTGTTGAGTCCCTCTGTTGTGATGTTGGTTGTAAGTGCTGTGGAATTCATAATCTTGGAATTTCAGCATTAAAAGAGACCTTGAAATTGTCTAGTTCAGCATCTCTTTAGGTATGTTTAATTTAAGGAAGATTTCTCTTTTGAAAGTTTATAACATATTGCTCAGTTCGACAAAATATACTTCTATCTGTAGTGATATTGGATTACATTGTAAATAATATTAAGGTTGAATGGAGATGGCTCCATCTCCTGGGATCAATATTGTCCTTCAATGTAATGAAATCACATGGCAAATATCTATTCCAGAAGTAAAACTGGGAAGCCTCCCGCTATTCCTGGCCTCTCCTTACCTTCTGCATGGCCCTTCCTGCTCCCACTTTGAGCTGCCAAATATCCTGCGTTAGTTGCCTTCTCTCTGCCTATGAGAATGAGCTAGACTTTCCCCTGTGGTAGGATCTGTTATACTGCCTTTGAACATAAGAGGAGAAAGTGGTACTAATGAGGTAAAAAGTGTCGGGTAGGAGGAGGGGATGAGGTAGTAAAACCGTGCTTCCTTGACTTCCATCTTCAACCACTTTCACAATGTTTAAATTCTGGCCTTCCTGAGCTACATGAAAATTTGTAAAGCAAAGCAATTTTTTATTCAACTCTAATTAAATGAAAAGTACTTTGCTTCATCTTTTCCTTGGATACTTTTTTCTTTAGATAAATCATAAACAACCTAATCCAATGGATGTCATTTATATCCAAAGGAACTCTTTCCAATGGAGTTTATTTGCTTTACACTGATGCAAGAATTATAATAAAAATCAGCTGTTTCCAAAAGATGAAATTAAAGCTCAATTTTTAAAAAAGGGACTGAATTATAGTTTATGTGGCAGTCAAAATCTCAACCAAGTCAGAATTCCATTAATTAGAATGAAATTGGTTCATTATTTATATTTACTATCTATTATTTTTCTTTATAACTGAAGTCTACCATGACTAAAAAAATGGACAACTATTATAAAAAAGTTAATGAGCTAATGCAAGCCTTCACTATATTCTGGACTCTTTTGTACATAATCTGTTTCTCCTCAAGATCAGCCTATGAAGGAGGTATTTTTTACCTTCATTTTGCAATTGGCGAAATTGAGAATGAACTGTTTTCCAAAGTTCACACAGCTTATAAGAAGCACAGTGGAAGCACAGTGGAAATTTAAAACCAGGCGTGCCTGCTTGAAAACCCAAGGAATTACAGGGTTAAAATGTCTTCTCTATATTAGGCTTGGGGCACTGGGAGAATGGGAAGCCACATTTGTGTCTTTGACTTGAGTGTATCTCCTTGATTTTGCAGGATGTGAACATCCCTGATCTCATAAAGCAGCTTGATATCCTGGGGGACAATGGGGTAAGTATGAATTAAATAAGTGCAGGAAAGATATGAATTTGCCTAACAAGAGGCAAGAAACCCTTGTCAATGTGTTGCGTGTGAAATAATAGCAGGTGGGAGGCCATGTTCACTGAAGGATGTAGCTCTCCAGAGAGAATCAACTGGTTATCAGACAACTTGGCTAAAGGATTGTAAGGACCTCTGGAAGGCAGTGACAGAAATGGGAACTGGTAAAATGCTTTTCGTGAGCAGGTTTCTGATTTGAATGGCAACCACATCTGCAGTGATTGAAACTGATTGCCTTCTGACTGTTGCTTGGAGGCATCCAGCGTGAAATTAATCAGTCATGCAGTTGCAAATGGTGCTAAATTGTAGGGTTGGTGGCAGCCACATAAAAATGGACCAGGAAGCTATAGTCCTTTTTCTTTTTAAAAACACCTTCCAGGCAGGGTCAAGGCATATTAATTCAGTGGGAGGACTGTTCATTGAGATGTTAGATGAATGATACATGTAGGTTGAGAAGTTATACCATTTTTTCCCTTAAACAATTGTCAAAGGGGAGAACATTAACAATGAAATCGCATGAAACTACTATGCAGAGATTACTCTTTATTTCATTTTGGTTTATGCTCTTCTTATAATATGACTATTAATGAAGTATGCTTATAGTGAAACAAAACCAAGTCAGTGTTTGAGAGGTATAAAGAAACAATATACTTTTTATAGGTTTTGAATGAACTCTTTGTGAAGAATTATTACTAAATAGAACATTTGTTAAGGTTCCATGCATTTGTGTCTGTGGCAAGCACTTAGGCAATATTTTCTGATAATGTAAATATCTGAAGTGTCTTCAGCTTATTTTTTTCTGTCTTTTTTCACAGAATTTAAGAAATGAAGAACAAGTGGCCATAATTCAGGCCAGCACTGTGCTGTCCCTGGCAGAGAAGGTAATAAATTGTACTGACTTTCAAATCATCTCCGTGCCTGGCTTAACACCTAAAGAGCAGGGTAGGGTTATTGAATACCTAATAAAGATTTTATTTTTCAGGGTGAGACAACCCAGATAGAATGAAAACACACACCAAAAAAAGTCTACACACTGATTTGGGGTGGGTGGATAATTCTTGCTTTGAAGTCTCTTAAAAATAGAATTCTTTAAAAATGGAAAACCTTCTAAATTACATTATTCAAGCAATCCTTACAAAGATGGGAAACGGATAAAGAAGGATTTTGTTAGAACAAAATTCAACCGAGTATATTTGAAGATTTAATTTATTGGCGTGACATTGGTCAATAAAATTATATAGCTTTCAGGTATACAATTCTATAATACATCATCTGTATATTGCATATTGCATTGTGTGTTTACCACCACAACTCAAATCTCCTTCTGTCACCATTTACCCCCATTTACCCTCTGCCACCTCCCCCCACCCTCCTTTCCCTCTGGTAATCACCATACTGTTGTCTGTGTCTGTGATGGGTTTTTTTTGTTTGTTATGTTTTGTTTTCGCTTAATTCCTTCACCTTTTTCATCCAGTCCTCCAGCTCCCTTCCCCTCTGACAACTGTCAGTCTGTTCTCTACCTATGAGTTTCTACTTGTCTGTTCGTTTACTTTGTTCATTAGATTCCACATATGAGTGAAATCATATGGTACTTTCTTAAATTTTAAGATCTGATTGGCTTATTAAGCGATTCATGGATTGGGCAGCATCCCATCTAGCAACTACAACAGCGCTCTTAGAGGTCATGCAAAGTGGAAAGCTTTTATAGGAAGAAGGGTGAGGCTAGGGAGCTATTAACAAAAGAAAATAAACCAGTATTTCTAGGCCAGGACATCCTTTTTTGCGGGGAGGCAGGCAAAGGTCTTATCATGCAGGTTGCCTCTTGATCCTACGGGGAAGAGAGAAGCGCTCCAGGGACAGAGAATGTTGTCCAGAGGATTCCAGACTGGTTGACCGAGATTATAGTCCCAGTAAAGGTCACAACTGCAATTAGGTCAGATATTAAGTTTAGGTTTGGTATCATGGATTTTAGCACAAGTAATGCCATTTGTGGGCTTGTGGTGTTAACAATTGAGAGGCGGTAAATTGGAATGTGGCTCTTTTTATGGGCTTTTCCTTGGGTGTGTACATGCAAATTGTTTCCAAAGGATTCTGGGACCTGGTGGTAGCTCACTGCAGGCTCATTCAGAAAGCCCAACCTGAGAGTGTGCTCTGCCCTCTTGTGTCTAAACCTGATGGATGGTAGGAAGAGTGAAAGAAGAGGAAAGAGCAGGTAGATAAGTCTGATAACTGGCTGTATTCAGGGTGCCTTGAGAATCGCACATAGTTGAGAGTCATGTATACGTGGTTGGGTCTAATGAGAACTATGTAAGTCCCTTGAGATGCTTCCTTAATTCCTAACTGCATATAAAGCTTGTTATAAATTAAATGAAACCAAGAGGAAACAATCAGCTTACTACAATCTGAAATGAGGAAATTCTACAAATCAAATGAGCCTGTCATCTTAAACAAAACAAAGATATTTAAAAAATGGTTATAAAATAAAAAGGTACTTAAGAAATTGCCCTAGCTGGTTTTGCTTAGTGGATAAAGCGTTGACCTGCAGACCCAAGGGTCCTGGGTTCGATTCTGGTTGCAGGTTGCAGTTCCTGTACAGTAGGCAGCCAATCAATGTGTTTCTCTCATATCGATATTTCTCTCTGTCTTTCCGTCTCTCTTCCACTCTCTCTAAAAATCAGTGAAAAAATATCCTCGGGTGAGGATTAGGAAAAAGAAAAGAAATAGTGAAATGACCTTTTTTGGCATCCTGATCCAAGCAAACCAAGCGTAATAAAAAGGACATTTTGCTGACAGTTGGGGAAATTTTAATATGGACCAGGTACCAGACAACAATGTTAATGTTAATTTTTCAAAATGTGGAAATGGCCTTGTGGTTATGCTTTTTTTTTCTTTTTAATTAAAAAAGGCCTTATCTGTTAGGGATACGTATTGAGGAATTTACTTGTGAAATGATATCTGGGATTTGTTCTCCCTAGTTACATGAAATACATCTTTTAATGTTCACATTATTATTGATCCCATATTACAGACAAGAAAGTTGAGGCTTAGAGAAATCAGGTAACCTTTCAAGTCCACAGAACCATGAAAAGCTAGAATTGGGATTTTGACCTAAAATAGTGTGCTTCTCGAACCTACACACTTAATTATTATGCCCGATTACCTCCTGAAGGGATAAGCTGATGTTTAACTTGGTAGAGACACAGTATAAGACTTGTTCTTTTAAATTATATGTGTAGTAGGTTCATACCATAATATTCAAAGTCGAAATTTATTCAGGGAATTGTTCAATGCTAACATCAATGTCACATAACACAATTATATGTTTTAAGTGTTAAGAAAATTTTGTAAGTTCTTTTTATGTGCTTTAAAATGTCTCTACTCAACAAAAATGATTCTATAACACTTACTAGTAGCTGTACTATTTTATATATTAAAAATTGCTAATTCTCCAGTCTCACTTGGCATTCTTCTTTTCATCATGTTCCATCCAACCATGGAGAATTGGACATACCTTCTGGTTGCAAATTGCCCCTCATTTTTGCCTAATCACCTTTGACTCATTGTTCAGATTCCAGTGCAATTGTCACTTCCCAAGAAAGCCTGCCATGGTGTTCTCCATGCGGGCAAGAATGTGTTGTTGGGCAAAAAAATGTGTTGGTTACCATCACAGCTAGCACATTGGCTGGCACATAATAGATATCAATGAATATGTTTGTTGAATGAATGAATGAATGAATGAATGAATGGAAAACTATAGTCTTATTTCTGAACTAAGAGATAAAATGCACCAAGTTTTCATTTCAGTTCTTAGTCTGTTTCCTGAGATTTAAGGGGAACTGACTGAGCACCTCAGTAGAGAGCACCATATTCACCATACCAAGGAGTCACGTTGAACACTTTTGTCTTGTTCAGTGGATCCAGCAAATCGAAGGAGCAGAAGCTGCCCTGCACCAGAAAATGATGGAATTGGAAAGTGACATGGTGAGTACAAAGATGAGGTATCATAAAAATTAAAGGGAAATTGAACAGGCCAATGGGAAATGACTGCTTTCTACCAGTTTCATTTGGCAGTGATGAAAGTTTGTAGCCTTCCATTATTTTGTGTACACACTATGAAACAAACTTCCCAGAAATCTTCAAGAACTTTATATTGAAAATACCCTTGAAAACTCTTTAAATGCACAAGTATTAATTATACATTCAACCTGTACTGTGCACTGTTCTAGGCATTGGAGCTCAGAGGTACTCGGGACAGTCAGCAAAATGAGTCTTGCAGGCGGTTATGTACTGAAGGCAGTCATACAAATAACTGACTGCACTTAGGGCTGTATTATACACAAAGATATATTTTTAAATACTAATGGGAAAATGTGCACAATCTGAGAGGCTCACAGAAGCTGAGGACTCAAGGGAACATTAGATTTGTCTCCAGTTCCTACTGGCTCTGCCTCAGGAACAGACACCCATTAAGTAGCATTGTGGTGGTGGGTGGGATCGCCGCCGCTCTCTGAATTCTTATCTATCTTTGTGTTTGCTAATCATACACAGATGACATCAGATGAGTTTTTCATTACCCAACTCTGCTAAATTACATTTCATAACATCCTTACCTAAATACGCTATCATAATATATTTGCACAGATATACTTATTAGTGATCATTTATCTTATCAAACTCTATCCTCTTGGATTGGCATAAAAATCCTTTAAAGCATTGTTCATTATGTCTTTTGTGCTTCTTTCCATTGATTTTCACATTGTCTGTGTGAGACGCTGAAAGTTGAACTATTTCCCTAACAGACAAAATCGATGACCCTACAAATACTAGTGATTTGTCTTGTGATGGAATTAGAGAAAACACTGATCAATATGATTATATATCACTTTCTGGTTAACTAAGCTGACTCTATTTATCAACATGGCCCTTTCTTATAGGAACAATTCTGCAAAATCAAAGGCTATCTGGAGGAAGAACTAGACTACAGAAAACAAGCTCTGGACCAAGCATATATGGTAGGTACAGCGAGCACTCAAGAGACTCAGAGTGTTTACATCAAATACTATGGAGGAAAACATCTGATTTAATTTGTCACGCCACATACTCAAATAGGCCACAGCGTGCAATGGTTTATTTATTCAATGGTTTCCAATTCTTATTTTAGAAAATATATCTCTAGCTCTTTGCTATAATATTATAATATTCTTATAATACTTAATAAATATTTAATTTTACTTTAATTTTTTAATTAAATATATATCATTATATAATATTTTAATGAAAGACAGACTGCATGGCCGTGTAGATTAAAGAGAAAATGAATTAAATCCACTGGGGAGCCTAATTTAGTGGTAGACTAATAAAGTCTTTAATGTTTGTTATATACATTTTTAATTCACTTATTTCCCACAACAACCCTAAGAGGTATAGGTGATATTATTCCTCTATTACATATGAGGACATGAAGGTTAAGAGAGTGAAAGGAATCTGCCCAAACTGGTAAGTAGGTAGTGTTTAGACCTGACTGCAGACATTGTGGTCTTAACTACCATAATCCAGCCACCATAAGCAAAGCTGTATCAGTAAATCGGCTGTGCCTTCTCTCCCAGAGATCATGCTGAGAGAGGAGCACTCTTAACTCACTCTCCTGTACAAAAGTCATAACAAGCAATTCCTAATATTGGACTAGAGCTTGCATTTCTTCTGTCCATATGCAAACCCCCCTTCATTAATTCACAACAATGACTCAAGAGAAAAAGAGCAAACTTAGAAGAGGAACATTTCAGGGAGTTGCTTGTAAAAGTTTTTCTAATGCTTTCCTGGAAGCAGCCTGAGTCACTTTTGGGAAAAGAGTGAAGCACTTAGTTTCTGCTCATAACAAAGATAAATCGGTATTTCCCCTCCAAGATGAATAAGAGGTTCTGAGCATTACTTGATGGGGAAAGGAGAGAATGAGTTGGTCACTAGAGAATAAAAAAGGAAACGATTCTTCCCCTCCCTCCCACCCTTTATCCTTGCCTCCTCTACCTGTACATAAAACAATTAAGCTGTGTGTGCTCATTCAGACAAGAGTATTTAACTTTAAAAAGATGAGATCTGCATAATCTATGACAAGAGTTAGAAACCATCCCTCACCAGGGCATGTCTGTTTACCTCTGTCCAAGTCACAGGGAACAAGACTGTAGATTTTGGCAACTGTGTCTGAAACATGTTTCAAAAAAATCCAAAACTGAGATGTAAGGAAGAGTAGACTCTTCATCTAAAACAAGAGAAGACTTGCCCAGGCGGTGTGGCTCAGTGGTTGAGTGTCGATCTATGAATCTGGAGGGCACATTTTGATTCCTAGTCAGGGCCCATGTCTGGGTTGCAGGCTCGATCCCCCAGATCAGATCTTGCAGGAAGCTGCCAATGAATGATTCTCATCAGTGATGTTTCTATCTCTCTCTCCCTCTCCCTTCCTCTCTGAAATCAATAAAAATATATTTTAGAAAACAGACCAATTCCAGAAGCTCCAGGCCATTTTTAGATCATATTTCCTGATTTTTATTTTAAGAAGAAATGTGAGGATTATAAAGCCATTTTCGGGTACAGAGGCCTGTCATGTGGAAGAGTCGTGGCATTTTGTGCATTAAATTTACCTCTAATTTCAAGTATTGTATTCCAACTTTGACCACTTTTCAATACTTATTTCTAAAAATGTGGCCACTATAATAGATGTCTTTAAATATTTGAAGGGCTGTCAAATGGAAGAGAAAACAAACTTATTTTCAGCTACATTTCAGAATAGAAGAATGTAGTTATTATAACAAAGTAAGAACTTTTTAACAATGAAAGTTGTCCAAGAAAAATAACAAATTTCTCATCATCTAAGAAGTTAACATATTGGATAAATGATTCTTACGGACTCTAATAAAGGGGATTATTATATGGGTAGTTAGTTTGGAAAAACTATGAAATACATTTAATTGCTATGATCCTGTAAGACTAACATAACATAACATATCTCTTCCCATACACACACTTATGTGTACACTCACACACCACATAGAAAATGCTCAATTCCAAAGTTAGACTTTTCTCATTTTATTTGCCAGAGAATCCAGGAACTAGAAGCTACTTTGTACAATGCTCTGCAGCAAGAAACTGTCATCAAGTTTGGTGAACTGCTGAGTGAGAAACAGCAAGAGGAGCTGAGGACGGCGGTAGAGAAGCTACGGCGGCAGATGCTGAGGAAGAGCCGAGAATATGACTGTCAGATCCTTCAGGAGAGAATGGAGCTCTTGCAGCAAGCCCACCAGGTGAGGATGAGTGACTTCTGCTTAGGGAAGGTACTAAGCAAGTGGGACTCAGTACCAAGTACACAGTGCTGAGTATGGGTGTGGAGAAGCCCAGGAGCGAGACGCTATTTTCAGAGTAAAATAAATCACTTTTGTTTTCTACCTCCCTTTAGATAAGGGAGGACTGTTTTGTAATGATTCCATCTTAAGAAAATGGGCGTTGTAGAAGCACTGCATTTTACTACTGTTTCTGCAACTGCTTTGTCACGAAATACCCTTTGACTCTCATGGAGCCTGATTCTCCCTGCTATGCAGGAAGGCAGGACTTCCTCCAGGACAGGAGTAATGCTTTCCTCCTGTTACTCAGCCCAGCCCATACCTAGTCTGATCACACAATCTGAAAAGGGTGAAAGAACACAAGGGCCTTTCCCTTTATTCATAGAACAAACAGCAACAAAGCTTGGAAGATGCCACTTACTTCCTGGCATTTGCTGCATGTCAGCAAGTAAGCTAAGGGCTCTACTCACATCATTTCATTTAATCTACAAAAGAGCCCATGAAGGTAAATATCCTTAATATCCCAATTTAAGAGAGAATGATTCTGAAATAAGAGCGCTTAAATGGTTTGCCCAAGATGACACAGATAGGAAGCAACAGAACCAGAATTGCAGCCCAGGTCTACCAACTCCAAGGCCACTGCGCGTAACCACTTTCCTAACTGACGTATGCAGCTTGAGTTGTGTGTGATTTGTGATTCATCTACACCAGCGAGGTTCAGAATAGACACCCAATATTCATTTATAGCCCAGATTCTTCATCCAACTCTTAGTTTATGTCTTAGCTTAGATGGTGAGGAAAAGGTCAAAGGCAGATTCCATAAGAATTCCAGAATTGGGAGTGCCAGGCTATATAGTATTTGTCACGCAGAAGCTGTAACAAGCAACTGGTACAAAATCCAGATGGGCTATACAAGAAGGAATCATGTGGTCATCAGAGATCTAGGTGAGTGGAAAAGGAACAGGGGTTATTTGATAACATCAATAAGAACAGTGCGTGTGCAACTTGGCACTTAGCACACCTCAGAGGTAGCCGGGAGCTTTGCGGCTAACAGACTCCCCAAGGTAACAGGGAACTCTGAAGCCATTTGTCTACTTGACAGACAAATTCAAAATACTCCTGGAACTTTATTGTCTTCAGGATTAGTTGGGTTATTTTTCTCATGTTTGCTTTTTCCCTGATTTATCAGTTCCCTCCTTGAAATTTTTATGGAAGTGTAATCTCTACTGTGTATTATGAGGACTGGCCAGTCGTGTTTTGTGAGGAAATTCCTCCCTGAAACAGAGTTAAAATAAGGTTGAAAAGAAAGGTTAGCAAAAACCAATGGGCTTGTTTGCATTTGTGTTAGCTTTATCCAGTTTTTACTGTAGTAACAACCAACCAAAAAATCTTAATCCAAATGGTTTACAACGACATTTTTTTCTTGTTCACTAGTTCTGATTCACACTGTCCCTGCTAGGAGGCAGCATTCCACAAGTCACATCCCACCCGCCAACACCAGTCCCATGGTCAAGCCCGAGGACAATGGGGTAGGGACTGTATCTCTCACGGGGAAAGGGTCTGCAGGGATAGACCCAGTAGAGAGGGTTCGCAAATCACTTCCACCACAGGTGCAGGTGATTTTGAAAATGCAGCAGTTGGGTATGAAAAAAAAGGTATATGTGATATTTCCAGCTGCTAATACTATTGCTAATGTTTTTATAGAAAGTTGACTGTTTTAGGTTGGTGAAGAATCTTTTGGTTCAACTTAATGTCCACTCATGCTTTTTCCTTTTTCTTCTTTCTGCAGAGAATCCGTGACTTAGAAGATAAAACAGACATCCAGAAAAGACAGATAAAGGACTTAGAGGAAAAGGTAGGTGTTAAGGTCAACATCTATTTTAACTTTACTTTATAATCAGAAATTAATGCCAGTTTCACTCACTGTGTCTGTTCTTTCTTTCATCTCGGGTACTGTGTACTTTGCCTAGGCAGCTGTATAGACGTAGGCCTCACCTTGAGTCAGGCACCGGGATCCCAGCGTAGGTGCTGCCCGAGGTATTTTGCGTTTTGTGTTGATTCCCATTCTTTTCTGTAAGTGTTTTCTCTCCTCAGTTTCCTCTTCTTCATCTTTATTTCCTTTTCAAACATTTCTTTTGAGTTTTGTTATTCTGCTTTCTTTTAAAAATATGTAGAGCGCCTTTTAAAAAATTCCATTATTACTCATAAAAAGCCCTTCGTTCCTGATACTGCAGTTTCACTTCAAAAATAAATTCATAAATGTAGATTGACATATGATAATTATGCCCTCTTGTCACTTCCTCGTGTCATTTCCACCAGTGGTCTAGAAAAATCACTGCTTCTTTCAAGCGAGCCAGCACTTTTGAGGGGTTAAAGCATAGTCTTTCTTAAAGAGGACATTTGCAGATGTGTGTGTGGTGGGAGAAGGGGCACTTGTGCAGGGGTGCTAAACAAGCTCTGCGGTGAATTAAACAGTCTGGCACAACAAAGTTATCCTTCCGGTGATGCCAGGAGCGCCTGCTGAGGAACACAGCGAAGATGGCGAGAGGTTTTCCCTGAGTTCCAATCTGAGGGGCTCGAAGTAACTGCCTGATCCCTACGTTGCAAAATAATATAACGCTTTCCTGTATCTTCCATAGTCACCCAAGAAGAAAATAGCAAACCATGTGGCATTTCTGAGACTATGGTTAGAACTTGGCTCATCCCAAGTTGCTTCTGTAGTTGTCCACATATGTGAGTTCAGATGGAGCTGGAGGGGAGCTATTAGCCAGACCATCAGCACCTGGATTCTTATGTAGGCCGGTCTTCAGGTACTTATTTGACATTGGGTAAGACCCCCTGTGTCTAAGCCTTGTCTATAGAATAGTGCTGATAACACTTGCATTCACCTCCTCTCCATGAGGAACAAATTAGTGGTTGGTGAAAACAGTAAGAAAGTCAAATTTAAAAGTATAAATTTTTAAAGTACCAAATGTAAAGTATACTTTGGCAAATTTTTAAATTTGAATTTTCCTCATTTCAGAAGTGTGCTCTTTAGTTCTCCAGGATTGAATGAGGCCAAGTTAAACAAGGACTTAGTCTCATTTCCCAAGTTTTTGGCAAGAAGACCCACAAAAGGCAGGATTTCCCTACAGCTTCCCCGGTTGTCAAAGGACACGCGATATCTTCCAGTTTCCATATTTTTGAACGGCGAGTTCTTGGCTCTAGTCATTCTCTCTGCTAATCCTTAAACAGCCCTGGGGCTGGCTCAAGGACAAAGTCACAGCTAAGACCGTTCTGCCCCCAGAAACTTTAGTTCAGTTCAGTTCCCATTCAACTGAGGAAAACAAACACAGGATTTTTTTTTAAATCTATAAATGTCACCCCGGTGGCCATTCTCTTAATAAACCCCATAATGTTGGGAGGAGGGAGATTAAGATTATGTTTAGTTCAGAATTCCATGTGAACTTTTCATTTTATGGATCTGAACTTCCTAAACATTTATGATGAGATAATATACTTAACAGAAAATATGGATTCTTTAGTTATCAAAGCAACATATACCACATATAGGAGTAAATTAAGTCACTTCAAAAATAACCTAGTTTGTTTCTGATTAGAGTTTGAATGAGAGATGAGCACCTTCTATTCTTCTATTCACTTGATCTCAGTTCTACTTATCTACAAGCCTAGTAAAAATGCTAAAGATTACTTATGTCAGAGATAGTGTCCACTCTTTTCCTTGGAATACTTGAACACCTTCTCAAGGTACATAAAATATCCTTTCTTTGTTCCTAATTCCCCTGCACATCATTAATATAAATCAGATGATAGTAGCAAACAGCAAATTGCCCAAAATGTGCAGCTTTTCACCATATCCAAAGCACTTCCACTTCCATCAGCTCATTTGATTCTCATCATTATTCTGTGATTCAGACACAGCGAAAATAATGATCCCCTTAATTAAACAATAACCCAGAGATTAAACAACTTTCCCAAGATTGTATAATCACTCCATGGCTAACCAGGACCAGGGGTCTGCCCACCACACTGCATAGACTAAGAATCTCATTACAGGCTGAGCGGTTGGGCATCTTCTCATTCATGCCCAAGAGGTAGTGCTGACATTTGAACTTCTCCTGGGAATATTGGAAGCCTCCCATTCCTCTCCTTCTCCATCCTCTCCTGTGGCAGGTACCACCATACCCCTCTTCATCTTCAAGGAGTGAAATAAAAAGGACCATTTCTGCGTTTTAGACTAATAGAATAGTCACTGCTACATGGCTCTTAGCACCATGTTTACAACTTATTCATACAATTTTGCCATAGTGAAGCAAGAGCCTTCTAAACAGTGACATTAAAGGAATATGCAAATAACATGCCCCTAATATGAGAATGCTGTACATGCCATACAGGAAGCCATGCAACAGAATGCTCCTAGAGATTGAATACAAGGCAAAGACTTCCTGCCTCTGTAAGAGTAAATCACTGAAGAACTCAGTATTGGAAAAAACTGACCTCACCTGTGACCTGTTATAATTAGTACAGAGTTGGTTATATACGAGTGCTACACAAGATCTGTTGGTCCATCAAGTATCTGCTTCTCTAGTGAAGATTCTTGGTGAAGATAAACAAATCAGGCTTCATTTAACTTCTGTAGGTCAAGTAAAGTGAGATCTATCTCAGAAGCATGAAGGCTGGAACCGCATTGTATATTCATTATCCAAAGTGTCACCGATGTATAGGCAGATGTCACACCAATAGGATGGCCACACAAACCCACTGGTGCAGGACAGACCCAGTTTGCACCTGTTGCCCTGGTGTAATTACTGATAGTATCCCATTTCCCTCTCTGGGGTATCCCACTGTGGCTAATTTGTCATATGTTTACCCTACATATTACTATTCTTCCAGATGAGCCTTAGTCCTAAAACCTAACACACTAACCAATCAATGACAGCATTGAGTGATTAAGTGTATGCTCTGATCATATTTTGTGTTTTTGAAATAATCTTCCATGCATTAAAAATGAGACAATAACATATAATAGAGTAAGACTTGGGAGGTCCATGCTCTAAACTGAACTATGCCATGAAATTAGTCTATTGATGAAATGATCTGTGCTTTTTTTCTGTACTTTTACAATTAAGGGCTTACACCAATTATCTGTAAGACCCTCTCAGAATTCTAAAATGTATGAGTTGATGTTCGCTGAACACCAGTTAGTTATTCATTGTGTTGCTTTGCCAGTAGACAAGTAAAAGGTATATTTTTTTGAAACAAAAGCTATTTGGTGTTATGTGAGAAGTGATCAGATGAACAATGTGGAAAAGCTGAGGTTTGTACTACCTGAATAGCACTACAGAAATTCAGATTTACGTAATCTTCTTCTTTTTCTTCTGCAGTTTCTGTTTCTATTCTTGTTCTTCTCTCTTGCCTTTATTCTATGGCCTTGATGTCAAGGTGCCTCTTAAAGGTAAGATTCCATTTAATTCTCAAAATGTGGTTCTGAGAGGTATATACATGTAGTTATTAGGCCCATGTTTAAAAAAGTGCACATGGTTTGATTAGCTTAAATGCCATAAAATGAGAAATGGATCCAATCCAGTTGGGTGTTTATTGGGGAAGTATAGTGAGAATCAAGATTTTTTTTCTAGTTAACAGATTTGCTTTGGGAATCACGATGTCTATGGATCTCAGTCTTCTCATCATAATCATTACACAGAGAGTTGCTTCCATATCTTCAAAATAAAGATATATTTTCAGTATCTTTTTCAGTTTGAAAATTCTGATATCTGTGAATCCTAACAACTAATAAATGATTTATTTTTTTAACCCTTTCTCCCCATCTTTCTTCATCAAAACTCAGGAAAGCAGGAAAGTAAAATTGGATCTTGGGTTTTCAAATAAGATTATTGTCAATGTCAATTTAGAGGGAAAAATAGAATAGTCTTATTGTTGCTAAATCAAGTTCAATTCTAAGTAATCTTAGATAGTGATTCCCAATGCCGTTTCAAATAAAGATTCCATGGTCTTCCTGTGACTTAACTTAATGAAGCAGATTACTGGGTAGATAGTGGGAGAGAGAGAGAGAGAGAGAGAGAGAGAGAGAGAGAGAGAGAGAGAAAGGATTGATCTATATTTTTAATAAACACATCAGGTGATTCTGATGTCCACCCAGGTATGGAGACCACAGATCTCAATACCATCACTTAAAAATGCGAAAAGGCTAGCTGCTATTCTAAATACATTTATCACGGTCTGTGACAGCTTTGGTTATCCTATTAAGTTATATTAGTCAAGGATCTTTCCTGGATCTCATGTTATTTAACCTTTTCTATAAGTGGAGGAGAGACACTTTCTTTTTCCATGAGTATCAACTTGGTGACCTGCAGGCGGAACACACAAGCAGAAGGGCTTCGGCATGGACAAGGGAGGAGTTAGGCAGATATGCCCAGAAAGTTATGTCTTCCTATAACCAACTCTTTGGCTTGATCCCATCCAGAATATTTTCTTTACAGGCTGACAGATATCCTTCATCTGACATGAAGGCTGGTAGCCTTGCAGCACATAAAGAAGAGGGCTGAGTCTCTCAAATTGAATGAGAATATCTTAAGTGAAATGGGTGAGATTCTCTAAGACAGGATCAAACATTCAGAGCGTCAAAAAAACAAGCAGCCCTCCCCCAAAGAACAATAAATAAACAGGCAAATAAAGTTCATGAGACACAAGTACTACATGGGGGGTTAGGAAAGAAAATTCCAACTTTATAAATAAATACTAGGTAGGAAAGGAGTAGGCTTGCACATGGACATCAATCATGGCTAACACTTATGTGGCAGGTACTGTGTTAAGCAACAGATACACAAATCCGCACAAAATCCCCTATAAACCAGGTGATAACAGCAAAATTGCCCCAAATGTGCAGAATTTCACGATATTCAAGGCACTTCTACTTCCATCATCTCATTTGATTCTCATAATTAGTTGCTTTAGTTGTTATTTTTGTTTGGTTTACCAGTTGGAGGAACTGTAGCTTGTAACTTTCCCAAGTCCACACAGCTACAATTCTCAGGCCTAGGATTTGTACCTGGACAGCCTCATTCTAGAGACCACTTTTAACCACCACACTACTGCCTCACAAATGAAAGAGGGCATTTCTCTCACATTCTGAGCATCATTTATGTTCATGTATATCAGCAAACAGAGGCATCCTCCCTGATGTGTGTGGTACTTCCCACTAAGTGGGTTTTGAAATTACAAGGCCCTCCTCTCTATACCTTGTAATCCCTCGAGAGCTGTACAAGATTTGAATTGCTTTTCCTCCGGAATAGCCCTTAATTGACACTTAGTAATTATCCGTTGAATAAAAAAACAGTATTAATAATATAGCAAATTAAGTAGCAGTATATCTGGGTGGTATAAAGTATGCACAGGAGAACAGCTGAGTAGTTTAGAGTGTGCAGCCTTAAGGTTACTCAATTTACAGAAATGTAACATTTTGGGAGACTGCCTTTAAGTCCATTTGTATTATTATTAATTATTATTATTTTAAATCTTCACCTGAAGATATGTTTATTGATTTTAGAGAGAAGAAGGGAGAGAGAGAGAAAAAAATATCAATATGAGAGAGAAATCAATTGGTTGCCTCCTGTACATGCCCTGTCTGAGAGATCTAACCCTAAACCTTTTGGTGTATAGGACGACACTCCAACCAATTGAGCCACCCAGCCTGGGCAAGTCCATTTGTCTTTTTAAAACCAACATAGTTTTACTCAAATGGATTTTCATGACAAACATGAAAGACAGAAATTATACATGTGCGATCTGAAACAGAATTTAGGATTTATCTCTGAAAGTGTATAAGTTGAGTTTGCAAGTAAAAGACTTTTGTACTTACATACATATTTTAAATATACAAACACACACATACACTATACATACACATACACACTTGCACACCTTACAGTACCTTTTATATACATTGAGACCAGTTTTCTTATTTACCAGAGCATATAGGAATATTATAGCTGTAACTAGTTTAGAACTCTCATCCCAGTAGGATGTAAATATGAACATAATCTATTTTTCTCAAAACATAGCTTAAACTCAGCTTCTGCCTTATTTCCCTCTTTCGTCCTTTAGTTGAATCTTAGGTTGGTTCCCAAAATTTTTAGTCACTTTCAGTTCTTAGAATTCTAGCTCAGATTAAAAATTCTCTTTGCCTCTGTTTAATCTCACTTTTTCCCTTATGCTGGTGTGTGTGGGGGGGGGTAGGGATGGGAGGAGGGAGCTCTGCCTCTAAGAGGGCTCGTTCCCTTCCCTCCTCAAGGCTCAGCTCCTCTGGAGGGCAGGGAAGAGGAAGCAGGGCAGGGGACATGCCTCTCCATTCCAATGGTGGCCAATGCCGTTCCTCTGGATATTACCGACCAGGTCTCAATGTCCTTTTGAAGGGAGGTGATGAAAGACTGATCATTAGGGGGACATAGGTCTGAGTTCCTCAGAAGCTGTGCAGACATGCTCACTGCACTGTTCCCTGACTGATGGAGGCCCCAGCTCGCCCACTGCCAATCTGGATGCCACCATGGGGGTCCCAATCACAGCTTCTTGCTGAGGAGGAAGCTATTGCTCCCGTCTCTGCCCATCATCCCCCTCCAGTTCTCTGCACAGATAGACAAAGAAAGATGAGCATTGCTCTGTAGTGGAACGGTAGAACATGAGTCTCCTTTGTACAAGTACCGCCAACCTCTCATTGTGCCTTTTGGTACTCCCCTCCCTGCCACAGTGTGCTCTCATCTCAACCACTGCACTTCCTAACTACGGTTCCCCTCTGGGGCTCTATCCCTCCTTTATCCCAGTTGAATCTGGTCTTTTGGAGCAGACCAAGTGGCTCTGCAAATATGAATTCCAAATACTTCTGGCTCTCATATATGGCGGGAGTTTCTTTGAACCTGTAATTTGCCTCTGAATGGAGCACCGAAAGTACTAAGTGCCTCCTGTCCCATCACTTCAGATCTTGGTCACCATTCCTGGGTGCCAGTAAAATCCCGCTACAGAATCAGTATCTTCATTATACAGATGGGGAAGTTAAGGCTTCGAGAAGTTAAATAACTTGTCCTTGGACAGACATACAGTGAGAACATGGGAATCCCATTTTCTCCGTCCATGTCATTCAGACTCTGAAAGCCATGACCTGACACAGCACATAACAGCACATCCTCTGCGCCGTTTCCAGCGTTTCTTGAAGGAAACACTATGTCCTAAACTTCTACCCAAGTGAAACCCAGACACATGGATTTAAAGAGGAACAGGGCCAGGAGTGCTGACTGGCATAGCCCAGGGAAGTACCTTTTCAGGGACATACCGTGGATCAACCAGGAAACCTGTGTGACAAACTTCATAGGGAATCCTCAGGTCAGGACTTAGAGTGGAGGCTGCCACTGGATACAATTGTTGGGGTGGAAATGTGACATCAAAGGAAGTCGCTGACAGGCACAGACAGACCTGCTTTTAAAAAAAAGCTTTTATTGATTTTAGAAAGGAAAGGGAGAGGGATAGAGAAATAGAAACATCAATGATGAGAGAGAGTCATTGATTGGCTGCCTCCTGTGGCCCCCTACTAGGGAGCCAGCCCACAACCCGGGCAAGTGCCCTGACCAGGATTCGACCTGGTGACCTCTTGGTTCAGAGGTTGATACTCAACCACTGAGCCACACTGTCCAGGCCAGAACTGCTTTTAAAATAATATCTTAAATTAATATTTGGGGCATAATCATTCAATTGAGTTTCTTCAGGCCTCACCTTGAAAGGCCCGGAGGAAAAGGTAATAATGATACCTAATGTTTCAGGCCACTTACTGTGAGGCAAGAACTGTTCATTGCTTTAGATGCATTATGTTGCAACAACCTTTGACATAGTCTATTTTCTCATTTGAAATTAATGTAATTAAGCTTAGATACCTTCTTTATGTAACTTGCATAAGATCATACAACTCAAAGAGGTGGTAAAGAATAATTTTTTTTTCTTAAAAGCATTTTGGTTTTTTTCTTCTGTTTCAGCTATTGACAGAAATGGTGATTAAAGAATATTCCCTCTGTCTTACAGAGTAACCGAAAACACGGATAAAACCCCAGAGAGACAAATGCTTCTAAACCTTCAAAGATGGCAGAAATGTTTACAGCAGTGAGAGAGAGATCAAAAGCTAAGAACTACCCTGTAGCCAGGACTACAACTGTGTATTTTAAAGCCATTATTCAAGGTTTCTTACTTGACAGTTCCTACATGACCCTGGTGAAAATCTACAATATATGCTGCATTTAATGAAACGTGTACATGTCAAGCCAGAAGAAAAGAACTATAAACATATATTGTGAAGGCAAAAAACAAATCAACCATGGAAACAGATTCAGCAGATCACACAAAGATGTGTCTTGGGCATGGAACCAAAGTTACAAAGAACCATTCTACCCCTGCTGTGCAGGGGGGTCATTTTAATGTAACACCACACCCCATGGAAACACTAGTCCTGAAATAAACATCATTTAAAAAAAAAAATCAAAACAAACAACAGAAACTAGGGTGGGTGGGAATGAAGCACGAGGAATACCTATGAGGAGCTATTTACAATAAAATGTTTCATTTGAAAAGTCTGGTTTCTTACTACAGGGATTTGCTTTTCTGTCTTTATTATTGTTTAAAACTCAGGAACAGAGACCTCTGCCATGTGAGTGGGAAGGAAGGCGCTCTCCGGTTGGTTTTTCTGCCAAAGGTGGAGCAGGTGGAGTGCATCCCACAGCTGAGAGATGTGAGTCGTGGCACACGGTGACCCCGACTGCCCCGGCGGCCAAGGCGGAGGACCTCGGCGAATGGGACATCAGACCCAGAAGCAGACTTGATGCTTCCTTGACCTCCTGTCACATCTGTCTCGCTCCAGGAACAAGAGACTGATCTCATTCATGTTGAAAATGAAGAAGACGATGCTCTAAATCACTAGCTCCCTGACTTAGTTCTATTTATAATACCAATATCTATAGGGGACATGGGCCAGAGGGCATCTCTGAATCTTTCCGTTTAACAAAATACTGGTTTTCAAATGGCTGCTTAGAATTGCCTGCAAATAAATGTCATATGATTCCAGTCAAACCACCATAGGAGATGATAAGTAAACTTCTAACAACTTTTGAGTTTGCCACACAGGGATGTGAATATAAAACTAAATTATGATTGTTTTTTTAGATGTCCTGATAAGCCTCCAGGACTTGGATCTCTTGTCATTTAAATGGATAACATTGTTTGTTTTTCCCAGATGGCTGACAGCAACAAGATAGCTCTACTTTTTTATATAGAAGTAACATTATGTTACTGATAAGGTTTGTTTTCTACCAGAGACAATGAAAAGACTGGTTCTTTTCCTAAGTTATGTAATACCGAGTCTTGGATTCAGGTGTGAGAGCAAATAAATGTTCCTGAAAAGCTAATTTTACACCTCACTTACTGTAGATAACAAAACAGCCTCAATTTTTCAAATCGCCAAGGTGTTATTTACAGGGCTAGAGTTCCCATGCCCAGAGAATGTGTATAGGGAGCCAGAACCTCTTTCTATGAAATACTTCCCAAGTCCTCCCACACGTGGGTTCAGTATCTTATTCTTCAGTTTTAGCACTGGCGTTTTCAAAGCCAGCAAGTCACTGAAGAGTGTACAAGAAAAGCTGCAATGCTGGGGTCCGCTTTTTGTTTTTATACTGACTGCTGACACAGGTATCGTTGGCCCAGTCACTTAACCTCTCTGTGCCTCAGTTTCCTCATCTGCAAAATGAGGTTAAAAAGCTTTTTTCATGAAGTTTCTTTCTTGCAATTCTGGAACAAGAGGTGCTTAAAGTAGCACAAAGTGCTTTGTAATTACGCTGACTGCGAATACTATTTGACTTTCTTGTATTGTTGAGAACCAGACTCCCCTGTGTGATAACATAGTGCTTGGATTGGGTTGGATCTAAGTCCTGCAGCACTGAAGCCTTCCCATCAAACCACCTGGGGCATTCCTAGCGATAAGGACTAAGGTCAGAGCCAGGGGCTGTAATAACCCACAGGAAGTAGATCATCTCGTGCTATTATTGAGCAAGATAGAAGTGTGTGCCATCCCAGTGATGAGGATCTTCTAGCTCTCCTCATTGCGTATGCAGGGCAGGATACAAAACTCACTTTCTCATCGGAGGGCCAGCCATAAAATGAAGGCTTGGAGTGAACTGAGAGCATCACATAATTCATCGGATCACCCCTTCCATTTGGAGGGAAGGTCCGGTGATGTGTCCTACTGGGAATATATAAGATAACTATCCTGCTGAATTATTTGTTCAGTTGGGTAGGTTCCGGATTAAATGTGAATAGTACATTTGTTGTGCAGACGGTGTGAACGAGGGTGCCCTCCAGCCTGTGACCAAACCTCAAAACATATGGGAGAGGATAAATTACCCTTCATATCTTCAACTTTTCTCTTTCACTGTCTTCATTGCCATTCCAGGATCCATCTGAGCAAATTCATACTCCACTTCCTCCAGCAAACCTACGTTCCTTCTCTTCATCTTGCTTTCCCCACCAAGAAATTTGTAGTTTAAATTTGACTTCCAAGTACTGGCTATGGTTTAAATGATGAGAAACATTTGTAAAAATAATGTGGTTTAATCATATATGCGATCTGCTATAAATCATTGCATCATACACACAAATCACACAAGAGCAATGACATCTAAGCAGTTTTAGATGTGTTTAGGGAATATGTTGCTTAAGATCCAGGAAATTAGCAAATTTCTCTATATTGCAGGCTAAAAGGTGATATGTTTGCCTAGTCTTACTCATGATCCTCAAAATTATTATTGGATAAGGTCAAATATTTTTATAGGTACACCTCTCTGTTATCCATTTCCACAATTACAAAAAACATTAGCAAAATTGTAACTGTCTGATATCGTCACTCATGGATCCATGGAAATGGACCATCTCTAACTGAGTGCTGTCCTTGTAAATGATGTTCAGAAAAAAGAGTGTCTTATTAATAGAGGAAGGCTTACTGTGGCCCTACTCCTTACAAAGAACGGACAATTCCCACTCAGATCTTTAATTTCTGCATCTTAACTATCCCACCACATTTGGCCAATGGGTTAGCCCATCAGAACAGCATTCTTCAGGGTCCATTTACTTAATTTTTCTTAAAATAGTCATTTCTTGGAAAATAAAGATAACCAACAATACTAAAAAATAGTTTGAGATAAAATAAAAGCCCAAATTTAGCACAGTTATTCAAGACAGGAAAATTTTTATGGTAAAGGCGGTGGGGGCGGGGGGGAGGATGGAAGAATATATTTGGCTATAATACTGGAAAGCATCTATTACTAAATTGACCAACTTTTTTTAATGCCACCCAATTTTTATTTTTGGAAACACTAGAATTTGTTAAAAATAAGTATACGATCTCCTTTACCCTTTGTCATATAAGTGAAATTATTGCCAGTAGTGAGATTTTAGGGAAGGAGGAATAAATTTCGCTTGATTTTTCTTCTCACAGATAACTTCACACAGGTGACGGGGTCTTCAGGAGGATAGAGGTGACCCAGAGGGCTCATGGGTCACTGTTGAAGCAGAAAGGGGACATTCATTCTCCACTAGGAATAGAGGAAATCAAGGCCTGTCAAATAATTTTTGCTACAGTATTTCATTTCAACTTATTGTGTTTTCAGTTGAAAATACATCTCTGGCAAACGTGTTCCTTTTTGCCTACTATTGTCAACATTTTTTGTAAAACCACTGTGTAATTTATATACGTTCAATGTCTTCAATGTAATTCATAAGATTATTGTTTGAAAATGAAGCAAGTCTTTTAAACCTGCCTGGGTTTTTATGGGAACTGTAAAAACACTATGCATCAGGATTGTGTTGGTGTTTAAATGATTGGATCATGTGTGTTGTTACATGAAAATAGTTGGAAAGCATAGACAGTTTATTTTTTAAATATTTAACTGCATTTTTTCAATCTGTCAAAGAGTGGCACAGAAAATATATATATTTGCCTACTATATTGAATAATGTACCTTTCGAGGGATCAGTAATCAAAGCGAGTCTTAGATGACTGTGTGTGTAATGAGTTAATGCTTCCAGAATGGGCCAAGCCTTTCTAAAGGGAAAAAAGTAGGTCACAAGGTCTTGAGGGATGAAAGCTTCCATTCTGTTCAACTGCCTTGTCATTTCCATGTAACATATTGTCTTGAGAATGAATTTCAGGCATCTTGGCAAGAGGATTCAGACATAATAGAAGGTTGGCGTCGATCCTCTATGATTCCATTTGAGGACTGGGCAGGGCAAGATTCACTTTCCTTTGCTGCCTTTAGTTTGGCGGTTTAGTGTTGCTGAGTCCAATGTTTAATCAAAATGACTAAAGATAGAGTTCAAGGGGCCATGCTGCAGTAAGAAGGAGGATAATGTGCTGTACTCAACACCAAACTCAGAAGTACAAGTGTTGATGGCGTACGGTTCCCTTTCTTCTTTGTGTTTTTGCATTGAGGTCTCTGTGCCTGTGCTTATATTTCCATCCTTGTTACATCAAAGTTCTGTAAGGTGGGAGTGCTACAGATAAACAACGTTGAGTCCAACTTTGCCTACACTCATGACTCCACAAACTTGCTAAATTGTGGATGTTGCAATTTTCCAAAAGCAGATCCACAATATCCCCCAATAACAGCAATCACTGATTGGCATCTCACAAAATGTGCCTATTCTCCGCCCCCCCATTAATCATAATAATGAGGCAGATCAAAATCTAAACACTTTTATAAATATGTGATGTACATATATATACACACATATATATTCTGTACATAGTATGATGGTGCGAGTGTTTCCTACGTGTGTGCTTCTGTCCTGGGGTTGAGGCGTTAAGGAAGGGTTTCCCCCTGCTTCTGGGTAACTCATGTTTTTGTTTGGCATCTGCTGTCTGTGCTCTTCCCCTCCTTGCCTGCTTCTCTCTCTCCTCCCCACCTTCTTTTCATTACTACTATTCCCTGCTGTTGACAGAGACAAAGATCTACGTATTGGTTCTTTTTACGCAGGCCCATAAACCAGCCTTGTAGTGATGCCGATGGTTTTCTGGGAAGAGCAACAGTAAGCCCAACACAATCTACAGCACTAATATTAGCCAAAATCTCATAGGTTTATCAGTTAAAAACCCCATTTGCAGAAGGGTTCATGCATGTTTAAACCCTCAAGATCCAATTCTGTGGGAACTCAAGTATAGAGCCAGTGTATTTGAATACACAACTCCCCAAGTGTCTACTGTATACATGTAGCCAGGGGGCCAATTTCTCAGAGCTTTCCTACAATCAACTGCCTCAACGGGGTTCTTTCCATCGCATTAGCATGACTCCATATATCGCTTCAGTGCTTGTTTACTAACAGAAGAAAAACATAAATGGACTGAGTTTCACCAGAATGATCCTCTGAAGTCACTGAAGATATACATGTATTGTATGTATTACCATAGAGATCGGAATCAGCTTATTGTATGTAAAGTTTTATGAATGGTTATTTTATAATTTATGTATTTAATATAGGAATTGATGAGCTCTGGTGTTTTAGTTTCTATAAAAATAAAACAAGCTGCATT